ATCGCTCCCTTTCAGTCACCGGTTTATCTGGTCCAAACTGCATTAGTTACCATGACGACTCTAGCGTGAAGAAACTCACTCACAATAACAGTTATTGTAGACTATGTACATGTGTACACAAGTATCAAGTGGAATCTAATTTTTCTCTGTTGTTGTTGAAGATGGAACTACGCATCTTTCACGCCAGAATGAGAAGAAATACGTACTTGTGCCACCTTGTGCTGTTCCTCGTTGAACGGAGGCCTGTGACAGAAGAAACGGTGCTTTGATCTAATATGCAGGGGACATCACATACATCCTAGCTACATTGTACTTTTCGGGTCTTTAATTGCCGCTGCTATTTCATATTGTCCGACGGGCGGTTGTGTTCTGGTAACGGTTCTATTCCCTTAGTGTCAATCAATCTTTATTTTGTACTGAAAAAGGCCACAAAGTGGGCATTTAAGGTTTACATAGTTAGACGTCATTTACAAATTCTTTTCTATAACAATCCTTTTTTTCTTAAACTCATATCGAAATATAAATACATTACCAGATTCTGCAATAATAATGTGGTAGTAACTGAAATTAATGTTCTTACGCTTGGATGCCTATAATAGTATGGCTTTAGGTAGTTCGTTCGTAGAGTCGTATAAACAGGACAGATTAGAAGAAATGTAGTTCATCCTCAACAGTATTCATATTACATAATTGTCATATTCTGTTTTATCTTTGTATACCTTGGGTACAATGTGTGAAGCCCATTTCTGGTGTCCCCGCCGTGATATTGCTGGAATACTGCTAAAAGCAGCGTAAAACTAAACTCACTCACTCACTCACTCACTCTTTGTATACCTGCATACCTGCCAGTTTCAATAGATAGGGAAGAGCAACGAAAAACGAGAGTGAGAGAGATGTACGAAACCTATTTACGTCGATTTTTGCTAAATAGACTTCAAAACATATATCCGATTTCCATTGATTATAATATAAACATTTTGTTGACAGAGGTAATTTTTCCTACCAAGATTGGAAATACATATCCTTCATTCTTTGTATACTATCCAGAAAAGAAACGCATAGCCGTTTTGTATATTTAAAGATCTATTAATTACCTTTTGTCTTCAAACAATTGTCAAAATATGTAACAAAAGTGTTGATAACATGATTTTACACAATTGCACAAGTGAAATTTTTTTACCTGAAAATGTTTATTTTGATGAGATTTCTTTCCAGAATTAAGAATGCATCACCACAAGGCAACCAAACTCACCTTCCAGTTGAAATTGTGCAGCAAAGTGTATGTACTGTCTGGCTATAAAAATCCAGATTACTTTCGGAAATCGGCATACGTTTTGAAGGAGTTTCAAGGTCACATCACTACGCCACGTCTTGACGCTGCGACACGGAACATCGCCATTGAAAGAATGCACGCTGGAGATCACCAATCTTCTGTTGCCAGGCGTCTGAATGTTGGTCTGAGCACGATATCACGGCTTGCAGCTCGTTACAACCAGACAGGTATAACAAATGACCGTCCCCGTACAGGCAGACCTCGAGTCACCACTGCAGCCCAAGATCGGTACATCCGGGTACTACATTTGCGTGATCGTACTGCCACGGGTGAGAGCACAGCAGCCAGGGTGCCTGAACCTCGGAGGATATCCGGTCAAACTGTACGGTTGAGAGAGATTGGAGTGAGAGCCCAGGAGACCCGCCGTCGGGACAGTGCTACGTCGTCACCATCGCGCTCAACGTCTCCGTTATCTAAAACTATCCACTTGTTTGTAGACCTTTCCTTCTTCTAAACCGATGTGAAAATTCATGTACTAAAGTCTATTTTGGACGAATTATACATGTTTGAAAATACAACATTTTCGCAACAGATGTCTGGCCTATGCGTTTCTTTTTTTGGGATAGTATATCAATGATATGAAAAAATTTGCATGGGACTGAATATTGTGATCACACCACGCATAACCAATACCTGTTTTGCACAACTCTCTAATATCAGTCACCCAATTTCTTTTCCCATTTTCGTCATACAATTTCATTATATCATAACATTTATTCGGAAATATGTGGCATGGTATATGCAGTAATCTTACCCAATACTTTATGGTTTTAATAGAGGAATAAATAAATTGCGGATATCTACCTAATTCTCCGTAAACCATAATATTACATGTGATCGGTTTTACACCAAGAACCTTTGCACGCATATAAACTCTTTCAATACCATTATGTTGCTGTAATCCGTATATACTCTTCAATATTTTATTCATTTTACTACTACGACTGTGCACATTTAAACAGACCCACTTACACGGCACTACCTTTGAACGGAACAATGGAACTATTTGCTACAACCGCCAAGATCAGTCCCGTCCCCTGCGTCCAGCGTCACTTCGTCGATCCTCCCACTCGCTGAATGCACATAGCCGACTGTCACCAACATTTACCGATTGTTGGACATTGTTCAGTTACCTTAAGACTTATGATATGTGAAGATAATGTTCAGGTACACTGGTATACTTACAATAAGACAGAGCAGAATGCAGAGATGAGTACTCATTTTGACTCTACAAAAACACTAGAAGTTTATCAGTACTTTCGGCCTTAAAATAAGGCGCCCAAGATAGCCATATGACGGTCTCTCAGTCAAACTGTACCAACTCGTGTAGCGCTGATACGAGAGCCTGTGACCATTCTATCATAGGGTCACTGACAGACAGAACAAAGACTTTTTATGACAGTGTGAGTACGGATCAAAATTGCCTTGCATGGTGGCGAATGGTTCATATCACAGTGTACTCCTTTTGGAGAAAAAGATGAAAATCCATGTTTTTAAAGGTTGTGTTTCAAAATGTTTTGATTTCCGGGTAAAGAGTATAGTCAAGACCTTGAATGGTAAACGTACCGTTGCTTGTGAGACTGTGTGTAGTGGTGGTGGAGTTTATTTGTGTTTTTCAGAAAGGTCGATTACTAGCATTAACTCGAACTATCGGATATTTGCTGGTAAAATACAATTGCAAAAATTAGGACAAAGATGGTCATGGCCACATCTGATTTAACGCGACTAGTATTTGAAGCATCGCCGAATACCTTGGAATCGTTCAGCATGTTTCAGACATGTGCAAACACGAACGCCGAAATCAACTGTCCACACCATAGAGCCTTAGAACAGATCCAAGCCAAACAAACTGAACAGATTAACATAATGTATTTATCTTGACTTGATAAATAGCGATCGATTCCCATAGACAAAATGGCGTTGTCCACGACGTTGACGCGGCAGAACGAGAGTGCGTTTACGATACCAAACCCGACTACACAACGCCAGATCACAAGAAGCGACACCAGAAACCCATTGCTGTCTTAGGACATGTTGCGAAAGCTTTTGTCAAATATGAACTAATTCATTTAGCTGAGTGTATAATGATACATGTTAATGTGAAACTAATATGACTGAGTAACGAATAGTAAATGTAAACATTTGGGTTAATGCTGGATGGGTGAATAGCATGGTATAATGCTTAGTCAAAGGAAGGGACATGTTAGTTATGGATGCCGTGGTGTCGTGCGAAGTCTGAGTATTGTACAGCCTGTGGTGATCAATACAGGGGGAACATTATGGCTCGATGTAGCATTTTATATTTTTATATTTTAGCAACATCCCAGCAATATCACGGCGGGGAACACCAGAAATGGAATTCACACATTGTATCCATGTAGGGAATCGAACCCGGGTCTTCGGCGAGACGAGTGAACGCTTTAACCACTAGGCTACCCCACCGCCTCTTGTTTCTATGGCGACAGACTCTCATGTAGTTCATGATAAATGTGTCAGGACAAGAGAGTTCAGGGTTCGAAAACAGTGCGTGTTGTGATCTACTTTATCTGTTCTAAGCTTTTTCTTATACGGCGATTGAACCTGCTATCTCACTGGTGTGCTTGATAATACGCGCATGGTAATGCACCAGTTTATATACTCTTCAAAAAAGAAACGCATGGGTGATTTTGAGAATGTTGGACACTGCGGGAAAAACAATACAAATACACTATTTCTTTCCAAAACGTCGTCTTTGTGTGACGCTTCAGCGCCAGGATGTGTGAAGAATAAACGTCAAAACGTCACCAAGAAAACATTCAAAGCAAAATGCACGTGCAAGTAAGCAGAAAAGCATGCGACATCCATCACTATAAAAAGGTAAACGTTGTGTTTAATTTTGTAATTATTTTTTGGCCTGGAAAAGAGGAAATCATTATGCCACGACTGAGTGCCGCCAATCGAAACATCGCCATAGGCCACCTTGAAGCTGGGGAGTTGCAGTCTGCAGATGCCCTATATTTCAACGTTCATCAAAACATCATATCTCGCTTTGGGGGATTGTTCCTGCAGACCAAGAGTTACATTTGAGTTAGCAAGAGTTACTTCTCAAGTCCAGGACTGCTACATCCGGCTTGTTCACTTGCGTCATCGTCTTGTCAAAGCCGTGCAGACTGCGCAACATAACCCTGGTTTGAGAAGAATTTCCAACCAAACTGTCAGGAATCGGATTGTGTGAAGTGAGGACTCGACCAAGAAGACCAGTTGTCGCCCCTAAGAGACTTCCATCGGCGCAATTGGCGCTTGTGGTGGTGTCGTAGAGTCCGGAACTGGAGCCGTAGAAACTGGATTCGAGTCTGGTTCAATGATGAATCACGATTTCTCCTTCAGATGGAAGACATCTGTTTACCGTCGGAGAAATCAACGTTTTCGCCTAATTGAACTAATTGACAGGTTGAAAGATTCGGTGGAGGCCATGTCATGGTGTAGGGCGCGATATCCAGCACATAAAGATCTGATTTAGTGGTGGTTCACTGGATTTTTACAACAAATCGGTACATCAACGAAGTCCTTGCACGTCCTTGCACGTACCCATTTCACACATATTACTCGCGTTAACCAAATACCATATCACTAATCTGTGGTTTATAACGAGCAAACTTAACCTTGTACAAATAACTACAAGATAAAATGCTGGCTTATAACTTTATTAATGCATGGTGGAATATGACAAAACTTCAGTACATCTTTTTTAAAATAGAAATTCCAATCTCTGTATTTCTTCCTTACTTATTTGAACTCATGAAGTGGTGTTACAGTTTAAGGTTTGATCCACCCAACCTTTCCCCACCAAATAACAAAGTTATCCAACGACCTTGCCACCTTGCAGTTGACTTGCAATGCCCTGAGCGTGAGTTGCGACCGTTGCTGTTTGAGTGAGCAGTTCGTCACCGTAACCGGCTACTCTATTGAGCTCTGACATCAACGCATCGTTGGAGTGGCCTGAAATATCAATAATGGTAATATTGATAAATCAATCTTTTATTCCCTCAACGGAAGTACATGAGTTACATATAACAATCTTAATATACTATTCACACTTTGCTAAGGATCTAATTATGGATTCAACAGAAAACTAAGATGTGGGATCAAATTTGGTTTTAATATCTAAGCTTATTATAAGCATGGATCCTAGGTTTCAGTTTGTCATTTCGTCTTGTGGAACCCATACCTGCTATTGACATACATGTTGTGTACTTGTCAATGACTTCCATGATTTGCAAAATGGTTGACTGGTGCCGTGAAAACCATTTTTATGGTAACTCATGTATCAAGTGCATAAGGTTAGATTAAAGTGAGTGTTTGCCTAAGGAGGGGCTACCATAGTATTATATATCCAGTTATAAATGAATATTACAGTTTCAAATTATAAATCTATGTTTAAATTGTCAAGTTTTGTAATCCTTAGCAAAATGCGAGTAGTATATTTACAACAAGATGACAATTTTTGAAAAAGATGTGACAAATTCTTAATAATTTTAATATTCCTATTACACAGTTTCTTATAATTTAACAAAGATAGCCATTGGTAATAATACTCATTAATCCAACTTTTACGTTGAGTTGTTAAAGCAGTACAATCAAATAGATAGTGGAGTTACACCTAGTACATAATCTTTCTTGACAAGGGGTATTATAATATCGGACCTTTTCTGGAAATTTATGGTTGCTTGTTCTAAAATATAATATTGGTTTATAAACGATTTCATTCAATAAAACATATTGCTCAAAACATAGGGAATCCTTAATGACGGACAGACAGACAGACATTTTATTCAGTAATAGGCCACTGGTCAATATACATTCATAAATATGATAAGAGGTTACATGCGTTTTACCAGGGAGACTACATAACGTTGTATATTATCCCTGGTTTTACATAAAAACATCAGAATCTCTTATTTTCCCAACATTATATAAAATGACAGAATAATATAAACCTTTAGATGTACTGTTAACATCACCTCGCCATCACGTGCGTTACGGTGTCACGTACACAAGAGTCACGTAGCAGATTAAAGCAGATCCACCCCTATCACACCTATATTCTCGGAGGTCAAAATGTAACAAGATAGAGTTGGTATTTCCCTGCCTCGAGCTCGACAATACAGGATAGAGAAAGGAGTCAGTATAGTTGGGTATCCACGTGAGACTGTGGCGTGGTATCTCAGTAGGCTAGCCGCTATAGAACCATCAGTAGACCTGGCTAGCACAGGCTCAATCACACATTCGTGCATGCACGTCGTTCTATACGTGGGATAATTTGAACCTGAAGTTAATTCCATATCATTTCACCTCGCATATATCTACTGGAGAAATTATGACAATATCTTGATCCAACTTTCGAGATATTCCGACTCGGCTGAACCTTTCACTTAATATTCTCTATAAGGTATATAATGATTTTAGATTTTGAGCTGTCAGGGCCATGTTTTGTCGCGCTCGTACGCAAGAGAGGATTCATTTCTAGGGGTGGTACACTTTATACAAGGATTGTTTGTTCAGAAATACGCCCGAAGTATATAAACATATTGCAGACATTTCCCAAATGTAAAGATTTTGTGTTGCGAATTGACACAGATCTTTTCATGGTGCCCAGTAAATAGATAGTCTCTTGGACACAGCCAGGAAATACATATTGGAAGAAATACTCTTTTTGTAAAACATACCAAGCGATACTTACCTTCAGCTTTCGCTTTATTAATAAAGTCTTGCATGGCGGCCTTGAAGGAATTTACTTGAAGTTTGAATACTCCAGCCTCGGATACCGTGTCAACCATGTCTTGCTGTATCGCAGAGTAAGATGGTGCTGAAATAGCCAGTTATAATGAGTTTTTTAAATTTATATACGACATAGTAGTTGTTTCATATATCATCGACCTGTATCATCAGCGTCCATAGGTTGAGATGGGCTTGGCAATGCTGGGACGGACTACGCGCAATTGGCGATACACCATTTTACACGAACCAATCACAATTTGGCCTCCGATTCAACAAGTGCAAAAAACGTTGTTGGCGACGTATCATCAATTAGTTTTTCAGATTAAGACCTGTTGTCCATGATGGGTATGGGGCCCTGGTGTAGGGCAGCAGTGTCACGTGTCAAACGAACTTATCTGCCTATTGTCACCTGACGTTTGAGTGACCATTTCGTAACAGAGTTTTGTCGCGTCCGTTTCCATGACGACAGATGACGTTGTCAGACCACATAGTGCTTGGGTTGTCTCCAATTAGGTCCGACGATAAACTGGCCAGCTGACATGCCCCAAAACATAGCATCTATGAGAGGCTCAAGGCCGGAGAGCGTACGCCAAGGGTCGCGCACATGCAAGCATGGCCCAGTTTGAAATGGGTCTTCTGACAGAATGGTGGCCAATACCCAGGACAGCTCCACACAACTCACTCAACAGTATGCCATCAAGGTAACGTGAATGCATCTTCCAACATGGAGGATACTCCAGGTACCTGCAGTTACACACCGGAAGTCGATGTTGACAGGGCATTTAAAGCCATTACACCTTTAATCGGCTTCCCATTTCAGTGTGTGACGACTGCATGTAATAACATACATATTCCTGATATGTTCAAAATAATTTTGATATAACATGAATCAAACATTCTGCAAAATTTGCTTCGTTTCTGAAGCAATGCAAAACAAATTTCTGCAAGCGCAATTCTCAATATTTGTTTTATAATCAAAGATCTATCTTTAATTTAGTTCAAACATAGGGAAAAGACCTACTGCATGGTTAGACGATACTTGGGAATGTATCCCACAATTAAGCGGTCAGTCACCATTCAACTGTGAATAACGACACCTGAGATGTTATAATGTCCAGCACGGTGTGTGTTGGGCCCCTAGCACAATCACATTGAGATGTTATAATGTCCGGCATGGTGTGTGCTGGGCCCCTGGCACAATCACATTGAGATGTTATAATGTCCGGCATGGTGTGTGCTGGGCCCCTGGCACAATCACATTGAGATGTTATAATGTCCGGCATGGTGTGTGCTGGGCCCCTGGCACAATCACATTGAGATGTTATAATGTCCAGCATGGTGTGTGCTGGGCCCCTGGCACAATCACATTGAGATGTTATAATGTCCAGCATGGTGTGTGCTGGGCCCCTGGCACAATCACATTGAGATGTTATAATGTCCGGCATGGTGTGTGCTGGGCCCCTGGCACAATCACATTGAGATGTTATAATGTCCAGCATGGTGTGTGCTGGGCCCCTGGCACAATCACATTGAGATGCTATAATGTCCAGCATGGTGTGTGCTGGGCCCCTGGCACAATCACATTGAGATGAGAATTATACATAGGCAACAAAAGCCAAGGTATCAGAGGACTTTACCTTGACCTCCCAGTTCACTTATAGCGCTCTCAGCGTAGGACCTGACCTTGTCGGCTTCGACTAGCAGGTCGTGACCCTTGGTTCGCAGAGGATACAGCATGATCATCAGGCCAGAGTCTCCTGAAATATCAAATAACGAGTGACAGTAAACCACGGTTGTGACGAACCTAATGGAGCATAAAGTTTAATTCGTTATAACCGTTGGTTGGTTCAAAGCATTTTGAAAAAATATATATAAGTAAAATAGACAAAAATTAATTGCTAAAATAGACGTACTTTAATGCATTACCTTTAACTTATGTATAGTACATTCGTCCTCTGATGTACAATCAACCTCTGTGTTTAGCAGAGCTTCTGTAACCGGTCATTTACTGGACATTACAGCGCAAGCGTACATGAAAATTAACCCTTTTGTCTTGCACAGGAAACCAGTCGAAATCAAGTGGCACCAATTGCGTCATAATCAGATTGCGGTAAATATGGCCTGTTTAGCTCGACAAACATAGTCCTCATAATGCATAACATAGTCAGCACTTTTATTGAGTGTTATACTTTTCAATGTTAGAAACATTAGAATAAAATTTCAAGCATTGATATTAATTAATTTAAAAAATCCAGTTTGTTTCACATAAGAATAAATGTGATTATTTTCGTGCTCACTTCCCCTTTAATGGACGCCCCTACTGGTGCCACGTGGAAACATTACAGAGCGATGTCTTCGTCTACAAACACTGCAACATTTCTTTTGGTCAAAAGATTAACCCAGATTTATTTCCGGAAATCGCGGAAATATTGATTTTTTCCTTATTAAGCGTGAAAATGGAAACTCATTTCATGATTCGAAAACACCAATTGCTGGATCTACTCAGGACCCATTCAGAGGGTGACGTTTCGTCCAAAAGTGAGTTAACGCGCATAATTTAACGTGAGTTAAATCTATAATTTAAATACATTCTGCGTTTTTACTAATCAAAAGCGTTAATAAACTGATACACTTCCAACTGAAAACAATTTGAATTTGGACTCAGTTCCGGGAAGGATAAATTTCTTTGAAGGGGTAGGACTCACATGACTTTTGCAAATAGGTGGGGGCCGGGTGCATATGTCATCTCTTGATGACTCCTTACTATCCGCCAGAAAATAGAAGCAACACATTGGACCATGTTTCCTCCGTCCGTTTCCAGACATGGTTAGACATGACAAAGACATTTGACATGAAATGTCATATACTGGAGATGAGAGTACCGCATTTGCGATGCGAGTTCCGATCTCTAACAGAAGCAAGTCTCTAATAGACGGAGGTATGGTCATCGTGAAGCTCGTGCCTTTTTAAGGGCTTTTTAAAGGCTTGTTTTGTTATAGACAGTTTTAACAGTATTTTTGTAACATCAAAACATATTACTTAATGTGGGAAGAAAGCACCGGAAACATATGAAACAAAACGAAACTACATTCGTCGTCTGCCTGAAGACCGGAAGTTCAACTTCCTGACCGAGTCAAACCAAAAGACGTTAAAGGATGGTACTTGTTCTTACCCTGCCTGTTGCCAAGGGAACAAAACAAGGACTGGCCGTCTCCGTATACTTTGTCTGAGAGCCGCGTCTATGTTAAAGCTCGGTATCTCAGTGGGCTATCAATATACCACTCGTACATGTGACATACTGTCTGCAGTGATCGTAAAGGCAACGTGGCGCCCATTCTACCTCAATTAATCTTCACTTGAAGAAACACAGTCTACGTTTCCTGATCAACAACATCATAACAACAATGTTATATCTATCTTGTTTATAACCTTTCTGAGATCATGATTGTAAATGGATGAAATGTTAATGGATCACAACAATATAGACTTACGCATTGCCAGGCTGACTGACTGAGTTTGCTTTTACGCCGCTTTTAGCAATATTCCAGCAACATCACGGCGGGGGACACCAGAAATGGGCCTCACACATTGTACACATGTGGGGATTCGAACCCTGGTCTTCGGCGTGACGAGCCAACGCTTTGACCACTAGGCTACCCCACCGCCCCCGCATTGCCGGAAATGCCACTTAGTCGGTATATATGTTCATCGACAAACATATAAATGGGACGTGCTGTAGTTATTGTCGATGGTAAAGAGAAGAGTCTCCGCACAACAATTTGTCTCGAACGGTGGAACGTTTTACCTGGAACATGCACGTCATAATAGACGGCGTCTTTGATGACCTTTGACACAACTTTCAGCTGAGTACCCTCGTTTTTCAGACTTGTAACTGATGTCAGTAGCACAGAGTCAGACGGTCCTGAAATAAAATAACCAGTTATGGCGATGAACGTTAACATACAGTATGAGAAAAACGTCACTTAATGTGCAATCTACCATGAGTGAGTGAGTTAATAGTTACGTCCCATCAGCTATATTTCAGCCATATGGCGACGAGACCAAATTCACACATACATACAAGTTCACTATAAACATGAAGACACGCTCAACAGTATTTTATTACATACAGAATTACAGTCTATAACATGGGGTAAAAGGAGCCTCTGTACAAAGATATAAAGTTTTCCCAGTAGTGAACAGTACATACGAAACAAATCAGATATTCACTTCAATATATATTCGTCAATTTCCATGTTGTTTTGGTCGTGTTGTCTGAAGCTGAAGCTAAATAGTGAAGGAAGAATCTGAAAGTGAAAAGTTTTACAGAAAAATCTATCGTGACGTCAAGTTATAAGAACGTTGTTATAAAGATGAGAGGAGCCCAAAGCATATCGTTTCCGCAACGTAAATTTGCAGTGTTGCTATTACGTTGTGACATAACGTTATAAAATGACGTAACACTAACGTTGTGACAACGTTATGTCATGACGTTACCAATCTACAACCTTCCCCACAACGTTGAGAAAACGTGTGTGTTAGCTGGGACGTGCCGCCACCAAACTGTCGATGTTGGACAACGCCGGCGGTACACCCTTGCCCTGAGCTGGCCAGATGAAATCTTAGCTCGTCAGTGAACAAAACACCATCCCAATCTTGTCTCCTGTACCCTAGATGCTGTCTGCACCAGGCAAGACGTGCCTGTCGCTGACGTTGGAGCAGAATTGAACGTATTGCAGACCGTCGGGGGCGAATGTTGTGCTTCCTCAGTCGGTTCCGTACAATCGTGGAACTGATTGGACGTAAGCCAGGAATGGTCTGAGCAGTCAAACTGGCAGTCAGGAACCGATTCCTTAGATGAGTCAGCCGAATGTGGTTATCTTGCTGACGTGACGTCACTCGTGGACGGCCAATCCGTTGCAAATCTTTCGCCTCCATAGAGATAAGATCGTGTTTCGATGGACACCAAAATGTCTGACGTCATTCCAGTCCCCAGCATACCCGCAGCGAGGAGACGCTGATTTTCTGTGAGCCGTGGCATGACGTACGCGCAGTTTACGTTGAACTTAACGTGTTTTCCACAACATTCAGAGGCTTGAGAAAAATAAACCGTTCTTCAAATTTCAATATCAGTGTGTGAAGTTCAGTGTCAAAAAGCATGCAAAAATAAGTTCATTGTGCACAAAGTGCACGTGCCAGGCGCAATACGTGACATTATTCCATGCAAAGTGCGTGACTTCATGTTTTTTCGGGTTATTTGTATACCTCTTCAAATAACCTTTGTTCTATGCAATTGTATGTTATGCACAGTTACTTTTTTCCGTCTGTATACCTTACTAACCATGCCGACTGTAGCTTAAAGTATGCTCACTTACAATCACTGCTGTTATAGACAATAAGCATGTCTACATACGTATCCAGTGGAAGCTGGAATCTAATTGTTCTCTGCTGTTGTTGAAGATGGAACAACGCATCTTTCACCACAGAGTGAGAAGAAATACGTACTTGTGCCACCTTGTGCTGTTCCTCGTTGAACGGAGGCCTGTGACAGAAGAAACGGTGCTTTGATCTAATATGCAGGTGACATCACATCCTAGCTACATTGTACTTTTAGGGTCTTTAGTTGCCGCTGCTATTTCATATTGTCCGACGGGCTGTTGTGTTCTGGTAACGGCCTTCTCGCTACATACAGAAGGTCCGGGTTCTATTCCCAAAATGTGTGAAATCTATTTATGGTGTTCCTGTCATGATATTGAATAAAACCCTAAATAAAAGCTTTCGCCATACTCATGGACAAAACACCTTTCCACACTCATGACAAATCTCTGCTAGATGCACAATTACAACTATATAATTAGAGAACAATGGCGGATCCAGAGACGGGGTTCAGGGGTTCGAAGACCCACACACCTCCCCTTTGAAAATGACTAAAGACCACATTGAAGTTAATGTTTTGCAATGGCGGAACCAAGGTGGGGTTCAGGGGTTTCGAACACACACACACACACACACCCCTTTAAAAATGTCTGGATCCGCCTATGGAGCATGTTGATGAGTCACTATCAAATAGTGATGACACCAGGTGTTCGCGACAAGTTGAAGGTATAAAACCTTACTATTGTACTGTTTACAAATACATAGCTACAAAAATACATAGCTACAAAAATACATAACTACGAAACTACATAGCTACAAAAATACATAGCTACAAAAATACATAGCTACAAAAATACATAGGCACGAATACTGAAACATTGTCTGATGCTGATTTGGCACCGGCCTTCTTCCGACAAAGTGTTCAGAAAATATGTTCCTGTAAGGTTACTCTAGGTCATAAACAATTTACAACAAGTAACCAACACACAGATACCGTGGATCATGTTCGGTTATCTCTGCTTCGACCTAGACTGCTGATGATATGCTAGGCCTGCACGCAAACACTCCACCAGCTCGGGTTTTTCAGATTAAAGCTTTTTAACAAAGTTCGGGGAACGTTGACAGAACCCTTTCCTCAGTATTGGGACCGTTGTCATGAGCCCTCTCCTCAGTACTGGGAACGATGACAGAAGGCATCTCCTCAATACTGGGAACGTTGACAGGAACCCTTGCCAGATACGCATGTTACAAAGTCGACAAATTTAACAATTACGAGGATACGGTTTTCGTGTAATGGAGCCACAGCAGGGAATCATATAGTGTCAAACATAGCAGATACTCTGAATACTCCAAACGGAACCTCATTTAAATAGACACACTTACACGGCACTACATTTGAACGAAATAATGGAAATATTTGCTACAACCGCCAAGATTTGTCCAACCCCATGATATGTGAAGATAATATTCAGGTACACAGGTATACTTACAATAAGACAGAGCAGAACGCAGAGATGAGTACACATCTTGACTCTTGACACCAAAAAACTCGAGGTTTATCAGTAGTTTGAGCTGTCATATATAGTGTCAAAGCACCAAGATAGCCATATGGCGCACCCTCAGTCACACGTGCTGACTCAGTCCGAGAAGTTCTGCAACAAACTCGCCTGACCGTTCACGACACTGCAAGTACCAACCAAACCTGCCTTTCATGTGTTGAAGTATGCTTCACATTACAGTTTCTTTCCTTTGAAGAAAGACATAGGAAAACCATATTTTTTAATGTTGTGTTTCAAAATGGGCTGTGTGTTTACTATCTTGAAACTTGAAACGCACTGTTGTTTGTGTGTGTGGTGGTAATGAACTCTGCGTCAGGAAAATTCAAACTTCTGTACGAGTTTTGCTCTGAAACGATTTCTGCATGAAAGATGCATTTCTGAACTGAGTGGATATTTCTGCAATATTTCAAGTACCTGCGGAACCCAGCAGGTGTAGTTTCCGTATTCTACCTACCTCAGCCTGGCTGAGGACCACGATCAGAATAGTTGTACGTAGCATGGCGATGTCGCACTGTAAAATGTTCAACTTCAAAGATGTATCCAAGTTACAATGTGCATCTCTTGCGGTTCAGTGTTCAACATCAAGCATGTATTACTTGACTGTGTGGACTTTTCAAATGCAAGGGATTCACATTATGAAGCGATATGATCTGTTTTCCCACGTGAGCGGGCATCTCATCCTGAGGGAGGTTGACCTGTATCAGTGTGAATGTATCAATGTGTAACTATCTAATGTGAATGGCGGATTGCTTGTTTTTCAATTTGGTGCTATGACATTTTCTGTTTTCAAATAATAATGTAATAAATATATATGTTTTTAAAAAACGTATTTGGACTTTGTTCTTAAAAGGTTTATGAATGCAGGCTTGTTCTCGTCACCATATGGCTGGACCAATGCCGATGTGACGTAAAGCCCAACTCAGCTCAATTATTTAAGTTACTAAGGAGTATAAACATGTTGAAACCACACATGTGAATAGTTAATACCTTTCGTCTGAATTAAATATGATATCGTCTACTCTTTCAGCAGCAGTCGCTCTGAATCAACATAACCTTCAATAAATGTGTAGTCAGCATATTTGGTCAACGTCGTTTAAAATGGATTGCTTTAAGTGATATCTCGTTTTCCTTGGCAAACAATACAAAATTTGGCAAGCTACTGATCGGTGTTATTATTCTGGCTAATTACTTGGTTTTACGTGCCAGCTAAAAAAATATACACTTTTACAAAGTAAGAAATACAAAATACTCGAGTATTTTGTTCTTAAGGCGAGACTGGACATCGTAATGTTTCGGTCCATGGTTCGAAAACGGGATGGGTGGGGTAACCCAGTGATTAAAGCGTTCGCTCGTCACGCCGAAGACCCGGGTTCGATTCCCCCATGGGAACAATGTGTGAAGCCCATTTCTGGTGTCCCCCGCGGTGATATTGCTGGAATATTGCTGTTAAACCAAACATACTCACTCGAATAATTACCCTTGTTCGGTTATGCCTGGACCTCCTAACACTCTGCTTCCAATCTGTCATGTCCTGGCGCTCTGACTGTAAACCATAAGTGGCCATTACATATTCGATGCCACAAACGAACCTTTAGTGAATCCGTTTCTGCACACTTATAAATAAATGTGTTTTTGAGGAACTACCAAGACAACGGTTCATTAAAATTAATTGAATTGTTGAACAGCTCATCAAGTTGGTGGTGTAGTGGTTAGAGCGTCCGCCCGGAGTGCGGAAGGTCGCGGGTTCGATCCCCGACCGCGTCATACCAAAAAGACGTAAAATATGGTACTTGTTGGTCCCTGCCTGGCACTCGGCATTAATGGGTACAACAAGGACTGGTCGGCTCGGAGTCAGTATAATGTGTCTGAGTGGGGTATTCATGCTTCACTGCGGCATGGTATCTCAGTGGGCTAGCACTATAAAACCAGCTTCAGTCTGGGCTAGTACAAGCAGCCGCACATACACATACACACGCATGCACGTCGTCATATGAGCGAAATATTCTCAAGCACGACGTTAAACCCAATTTCACCTCACCTCACCTCACCTCATCAAGTTGAAATATTCAACACGTTCCTTACAGCACCTTTCACACCAGACACCAACTATTGTATGGTCTCTCATATTACTTGCGTTAACCAAATACCATGTCACTAATCTGTGGTTCACAATGAGCAAACTTAACTTTGTACAAATAACTACAAGATAAACTGCTGGCTTATAACTTTATTAATGCATGGTGGTATATGACGTCACTTCAGTACATTTTTAACACAAAATTTCAATCTCTGTATTTCCTCTTTGCATAATTGGTGTTATAGTTTAAGGTTTGATCCACCCAACCTTTTCCCACCAAATAACAAAGTTATCCAACGACCTTGCCACCTTGCAGTTGACTTGCAATGCCCTGAGCGTGAGTTACGACTGCTGCTGTTTGAACGAGCAGTTCGTGAAAGTAACCGGCTATTTTATTGAGCTCTGACATCAACGCATCGTTGGAGTGGCCTGAAATATCAACAATGGTAATAATGACTATATACAGAGAACCTGTTTCCAGGCACGTGTGCATGCTCAAGGCGCTAACACAATATTCCCTGGTTAATCCAAGCTGTCTGTGAGACGCTAGAAGTTTAACAGTCATTTGACTTATCCCACCGGGTACCCATTCGCTGCTGGGTGAACAGACGCGGTTTTTTAACAAACTAAATTACCTAAGATGAGACCATATGTGTCACGTGTGAGTGATAATATGTTCAAGTTATGCATGAAATAAAATGTATCAAGGTAGAACATGAATTTCCCGCTTTGAGCTCGACAATACAGGATAGAGAAAGGAGTCAGTATAGTGGGGTATCCACGTGAGACTGTGGCGTGGTATCTCAGTAGGCTAGCCGCTATAGAACCATCAGTAGTCCTGGCTAGTACAAGCTCCACCACACATTCGTGCATGCACGTCGTTCTATAAGTGGGATAATTTGAACCTGAAGTTAATTCCATATCATTTCACTTCGCATGTATCTACTGGAGAAATCATGACAACATTTTGATCCAACTTTCGAGATATTCCAACTCGGGTGATACCTTTCTCATATTCTCTATTAGGTATATAATGATTTTAGATGTTGAGCTGTCAGGGCCATGTCTTATCGCACTCGTACTCAAGAGAGCGTTCATTCCTAGGGGTGGTACACTTTATACAAGGTTTGTTTGTTCAGAAATACGCCCGAAGTATATAAATATATTCTAGATATTAACCAAATGTAATCAGGACAATACCTTGATCCAAACTTCGAGATAATCCAAATCGGGTGATACCTTTCGCTTAATATTATCGATACTTTTGAGCGGTCAGAGTTCTGCGAATGCAAACAGATCGTTTCATGGTGTTCAGTAAATAAACAGTTTCTTGGAGGAAATACATATTCGACCGACTGACTGACTGACTGAGTATGGTTTTACGCCGCTTTTAGCAATATTCCAGCAATATCACGGCGGGGGACACCAGAAATGGGCTTAACACAGTGTGCCCATGTTGGGAATCGAACCCGGGTCTTCGGCGTGACGAGCCAACGCGTTAACCACTAGGCTACCCCACCGCCCCCCATATTGGAAAAAATACTCTTTATATAAAAGATACCAAACGATACTTACCTCTAGATTTCGCTTTATTAATGAAGTCTTGCATGGCGGCCTTGAAGGAATTTATTTGAAGTTTGAATACACCAGCCTCGGATACCGTGTCAACCATGTCTTGCTGTATCGCAGAGTAAGATGGTGCTGAAATAAAATAGCCAGTTATGCTGAGTTTTTTTTTATTTTATATACGACCTAGTAGTTGTTTCATATATCATCGACCTGTATCATCAGCTTCCATAGGCTGGGTGGGCTTGGTAATGCTGGGACGGACTACGCGCAATTGGCGATACACCATTTTACACGAACCAATCAAAATTTGGCCTCCGATTCACCATGCAGAAAACGTTGTTAGCGACGTAGCGTCGACTAGTTTTTCAGGTTAAGACCTGTTGTCCATGATGGGTATGGGGCCCTGGTGTGGGGCAGCATCACACATGACAAGAAAATGTATCTGCTTATTGTCACCTGATGTTTGAATGACCATTTCTTGACGGAGTTTGGTTGCGTCCGTTTCCATGACGACATATGACGTTGTCAGACCACATAGAGCTCTCGTCGTCTCCGATGATGTCCGACGATAAAGCATAGGGACATTGGACTGGCCAGCTGACATGTCCCAAAACACAACATCTCTGAGATGCTCAAGGCCGGAGAGTGTACGCCAAAGGGCGCTCACCCGTCACCATGGGACAGTTTGAAATCCGTCTTCTGGCAGAATGATGGACAACAACCAGGACAGTTCCATACAACTCACTCAACAGTATGCCATCAAGTTGTCGTTCATCCAACATAATGGATACACCAAGTTCTTTCCTACACACCGGAAGTCAATGTTGACAAGTCATTTAAAGCCATTACACCTGTACTGTCACTTTAATCGGCTTCCTGGTTTTGTTTGTGACGACTGCATGTAAATAACGTACATATTTCCCGGTATGTTTAAAATAATTTTGATATAAAATGACATCACTTTAAAATCGGAATGCTACTCTATTTATTACTTCATGCAAACACAGCAAGTGGTGTTAGTGTTAGCCAACTGATGTGACTGTCGCAGGAACTACAAAATTAACGTTCTGGCAGATGTTTTGAACTTTTGGAAACCGGTGAATAAAAACTTTATAATGTCTGACATGGCGTGTCTACACATCGAATTTAGGGTTTGTAACCAGTCATAAAGAACATATTAATAAAACATGCAATTCTGAAAGTGTGCTTCGTATCTGAAGCAATGCAAAGAAAAATTCTGCCCGTTTCCCCACAAAACAATTCTCAATATTTGTTTTATAATCAAAGATCTATCTTTAATTTAGTTCAAACATAGGGAAAATACCTACTGCATGGTTAAACGATACTGGGAAATGTATCCCACAATTAAGCTGTCAGTCACCATTCAACAGTGAATAACGACAACTGATATGTTATAATGTCCACAATCACATTGAGATGAGAATTATATAGAGGCAACAAAAGCCAATGTATCAGAGGACTATACCTTGACCTTCCAGTTCACTTATAGCCTTCTCAGCGTAGTACCTGACGTTTTCGGCTTCGACTAGTAGGTCGTGACCCATGGTTCGCAGAGAATACAGCATGGTCGTCAGGACAGAGTCTCCTGAAATATCCAATAACGGTGGCACAAACAAGAGGAGCATAAAGTTTAATTCGTTATAACCGTAGTTTGTTCAAAGCATTTTGGAAAAAAAATAAGTGATCTAGACAAAAATAAATGAGTAAAGTAGACGTACTTTAATTCATTGCATTTAACTTATTTATAGTATATTCGTCCTCTGATGTACAATCAACCAGACGTGTAACTTATGTATAGTATAGTTGTCCTCTGATGTACAATCAACCAGACATGTAACTTAAGTATAGTATAGTTGTCCTCTGATGTACAATCAACCAGACATTTATCTTAAGCTTATGTAAAGTATAGTTGTCCTCTGATGTACAATAAAACCAGACATGTAACTTATGTATAGTATAGTCGTCCTCTGATGTACAATCAACCACCAGACATAACTTAACTTATGTATAGTATAGTCGTCCTCTGATGTACAATCAACCAGACATGTAACTTATGTATAGTATAGTTGTCCTCTGATGTACAATCAACCAGACATGTAACTTATGTAGAGTATAGTTGTCCTCTGATGTACAATCAACCAGACATGTAACTTATATATAGTATAGTCGTCCTCTGATGTACAATCAACCAGACATGTAACTTATGTATAGTATAGTCGACCTCTGATGTACAATCAACCAGACATGTAACTTATGTAGTATAGTATAGTTGTCCTCTGATGTACAATCAACCAGACATGTAACTTATATATAGTAGTATAGTCGTCCTCTGATGTACAATCAACCAGACATGTAACTTATGTATAGTATAGTCGTCCTCTGATGTACAATCAACCAGACATGTAACTTATGTATAGTATAGTTGTCCTCTGATGTACAATCAACCAGACATGTAACTTATGTATAGTATAGTTGTCCTCTGATGTACAATCAACCAGACATGTAACTTATGTATAGTATAGTTGTCCTCTGATGTACAATCAACCAGTGTGCTCAGTAGAGCTTCTGTAACCGGTTATTTACTGGACATTAAACAACACATTACAGAGTGGTGACTTCCTCTGGCTTCATCCATATACGGAACCACAAACATTGCAACATTTCTGTCTTTAAGTCAAAAGATGAACCCAGATTGATTTATGTAAAGCTCGGAAATATTGTCTCGATAGAGTATTGATTGATTCTTATTCAACACAAAGAGTGAAAATGGAAAACCATTGCATAATTATTTCCATCGACGACCATAATCGGCGGTACTATAGTTTTATTGTCGACGGCCAAGAGGAAGAGTATCTGTGCAAAAGACATTGTTTCGAACTGTCAAACCTTTTACCTGAAACATGTACGTCAAAATAGAGGGCGTCCTTGATAGCCCCTGATACACCCTTGAGCTCAGTACCCTCGTTTTTCAGACTTGTAACTGATGTCAGCAGCACGGAGTCAGACGGTCCTGAAATACAATAACCAGTTATGGCGAGTTGTTTCAACATACAGTATGAGAAAAACGTCTCTTAATATACAATCTACCATGAGTGAGTGAGTTTAAATCAACGTTGCATCAGCTATATTTTAGACATATGGCGACAAGGCCAAGTTAACACATACATACAAATTCATCATAAACATCTTTGTCCTAAAGCAGAATTTTATTTCATCCTTTCTTTTGGACATCTAAATCACTGTTATTGGTATATTTCGACATGGGCCAATATAGGACAAATAAACTTTTCTAAAAAGATGCATTTTACCTAAATATGAATGCATTTGAGAATTTTCTTTAGTAATCTGCATAAAGTAATTCATAAAGGTAAGAGGGTAACGTTTCTTTTGGCGTTTAGTGTATGCCTGGACGTGTGAAGCCTCTCCGAACTGAAAGTCCAGGTTCCCCTACCTGTATTTAACAGTATATGTTGGACATGCCCCCATATGAGACAATGCCCCGACAACCTGTGTTGGACATGCGAGGCGACCCCTTGATGATTCCTGGGTGACAACCTATGATGGACATGCGAGGCGACCCCTTGATGATTCCTGGGTGAGACTATGCCCCGCACAACCAATGATGGACATAAGTGGCGACCAGAATGACCCCTTGACCCCTAATCACGCACGGAGAGTATCAATCGCTCCCTTTCAGTCACCGATTTTTCTGGTCCAAGCTGCATTACTTACCATGACGACTCTAGCATGAAGAAAACTGACTCACAATAACAGATATTGTAGACTATGTACATGTGTACACAAGTATCAAGTGGAAGCTGGAATATAATTGTCCTCTGCTGTTGTTGAAGATGGAACTACGCATCTTTCACCCCAGAGTGAGAAGAAATACGTACTTGCGCCACCTTGTGCTGTTCCTCGTTGAACGGAGGCCTGTGACAGAAGAAACGGTCCTTTGATCTAATATACAGGAACATCACATACATCCTAGCTACATTGTACTTTTAGGGTCTTTAATTGCCGCTGCTATTTCATATTGTCCGACGGGCTGTTGTGTTCTGGTAACGGCCTTCTCGCTTTACGCAGAAGGTCCGGGTTCTATTCCCTTTGTGTCAATCAATCTTTATTCAGTACATAAAAAGGCCACAGAATTTACATTTAGAGTTTACATGAGTAGTTAGAAGTCATTTACAAATTATTTTCTATAACAAACCTTTTTCTTAAACTCATTGCGAAATAGATGTACATTGCCAGATTCTGCAATAATAATGTGGTAGAATCTGTTAACTATGAAATTAATTTTCATACACTTGTATGCTTTAGGTATTTCGTTCGTAGAGTCGTATAAACAGGACAGATTAGAAGGAAATGTAATTCATCCTCAACAGTATTCTTCTTACATAATTGACATATTCTGTTTTCTCTTTGTATACCTGTACACCTGCATTGTTTCATTAAAACATTCATGGGAAGAGCAACGAAAACGAGAGAGGGATATGCGTAACCTTTTTCGTCGATTTTTGCTAAATAGTCTTCAAAACGTATATCCGATTTCTATTGATTTTAATATAAACATTTTGTTGACAGAGGTAATGATTCCTACAAAGATTGGAAATACATATCTTTCATTCTTTGTGTAAATGATATGATAAAATTTGCATGGGACTGAACATTGTGATCACACCACACATAGCCATAACCTGTTTTGTACAACAACTCTCTAATATCAGTCACGCAATTTCTTTTCCCATTTTCGTCATACAATTTCATCATATCATAACAGTTTTCGGAAACCTGTGGCATGGTATATGCAGTAATCTTACCCAGTACTTTATGGCTTTAATAGAGGAATATATAAGCTATGGATATGTACCTAATTCTCCGTAAACCATAATATATATTACATGTGATCGGTTTTACACCAAGAAACCATTGCACGCATATAAATGAACTCTTTCAATAGTATCATACTGCTGTAATCCCCATATTTCAGAGCCATATAGAAGTATTGGTCTTATCTTCATATTGAATATTTTAAAGAATGTTTTTAAAGATATTTCACCTAAAGACCTCATATTTTCACAAACACAGATTAAAACGTTCAAGGCTTCAAGTACTGACGCTTGTGTTGTGTGTTTGGACCAGGAAAGATTATTAGAGAATATACGCCAAGGTACTTATAAACACTGGTACTTTGGAGTAGTTGCCCTTTATAACACTTTTTTTCTAATTTAGAAAGTTTTCCGCCTTTCTTAAAGACGATAATTTTGGTTTTGTCTCTGTTTACTCACAATCTATACTGGTCAGAAAATTTGTCTGATTTATCTATTTGTTTCTGCAAATCGCTAACAGCACTAGAGAATAATACAATATCATTGGCAAAGAGTAGCAGAAATAGCTGCCATGTGTGTATCTGGGTGTATTTGGACCCCATTCGTACACGTGTCACATATTTGCATGGCAAATTCATTCATGAAAAACGTAAAAAAGGAATGGGCTTAAAACACAGCCTTGTCTAACACCGAATTCACTAAAATAAGGTTCAGATAATTCATGCTTATTCCTTACACACATTTTAAAATTTTCGTATATACTGTTCAACTTTTTTTCATTTTACTACTAAGACTGTGCACAGAACCAAAAGCCTTTGCAAAATCCACGAATAATGCGTAGAAATGTCAACCTTTTGAGCTGAGATATATTTGTATTAGACTATGCAGTATAAAGAGAGTATCTGTTGTATATTCCTCCTAAAGCCCGCTTGACCCTCGTATATCTGATCCATGACATCAGCCCATGTAACATCTTTTGTTGATGATATAAGTAAATAAGTTGCCAAATGTACTAAGTACAGTTATTCCACGGTAGTTATTGGTATCATTCGGATCATCCTGTTTATAGATTGGAACAAGACTGACAACCAAGATTCAGGAAAGTTCCCAGTGTCGAGAATTATGATGAATATAAGCTCAAGGTATGGAAGTAAACGATCAGATGAATGTTTGAAACATTCCGGGAGGATGTTGTGTATTCCTGGTGATTTATTACACTTTAGATGTTGTATACTGTTTAATATTTCATCTCGGAGGCTACATCTGAAATGTTAATAGACTCAGTGTCGTTCACACAGTCTTGTCTATGTGGATCTGGGTTGTTATCAGAGGTAGAGAATAATGACTGAAAGTAGTTGAACCATTCGTCGATTTCAAGGTTGTTGTTTTGACTATTCTTATGAAATGGTGTTTTAAGTTCATTCCTGAGTGTGTGAAGTCTATTTATGGCGTTCCTGTCATGATATTGGAATAGCGCTGAAAGACATAAATAAAAGCTTTCTCAATGTTCATGGACAAGAGACCTTTTCACACTCATGACAAATCTCCGCTAAATGCAAAGTCGACTGCACAATTACAACAACATTATATACATGTATTTCGTTAGAACATGTTGGTGAGTGACTATCAAATAGTGATGACACCAGGTGTTCGCGACAAGCTGAAGGTAAAAAACCTTACTATTGTACTATTTGAAAATGCATAGCTACAAAAATACATAGCTACAAAAATACATAGCTACAAAAATACATAGGTACGAATACTGACACCTTGTCTGATGCTGATTTGGCACCGGCCTTCTTCCGACAGAGTGTTCAGAAAATATGTTCCTGTAAGGTTATTCTGGGTCATAAATAAGTCACTTTTAAGTAACCAACATATAGATTCCCTTGATCATGTTCGTTTATCTCTGCCTGATGCTATGTTAGTGCTGTACGGAAAGACTCCATTCGCTCGTTCTGGGAACGTTGACAGAAGCGCTTTCCTCAGTGTTGAGAGGGCCCTTTTATCGGTACTGGGAACGTTGACAGAAGCGCTTTCCTCAGTGTTGACAGGGGCCCTTTTCTCGGTACTGGGAACGTTTATAGAAGCCCTTTCCTCAGTGTTGACAGGGGCCCTTTTCTCGGTACTGGGAACGTTTACCCGTTCCTCAGTGTTGACAGGGGCCCTTTTCTCGGTACTGGGAACGCTGACAGAAGCCCTTTCCTCAGTGTTGACAGGGGCCCTTTTCTCGGTACTGGGAACGTTGATAGGAGCTATTTCCCTGTGCTGTTTAGGGGTTTTGTCTTTGTATTATGACCACTTTAAACTGCCTTATCAAACATCCTGGTGTCGGCTACCCCTACTGTAAACCGCCTAACTGAACAACACGGTGTCAGATACGCATGGTACAAAATCGCCGAATTAGAGTACATGGATACAGTTTTTGCCTAAAGGAGCCACAGCCGGGGATTATATAGTGTCAAACATAACAAATACTCTGAATACTCCAAACGGAACTACATTTAAACAGCCCCAGTTAATGGCACTACACATCAACAAATAGCTAGCTACTCCTGGCTCTCAGAATCGTTGAATGCATGTTGTAACGGAATGTCACCAACGTTTACCGTTCGGTTACCATGAGACTGATCACGTGTGAAGATAATACTAAGGTACACTGGTATACTTACAATAACACAGAGCAGAACACAGAGATGAGTACACATGCTGAATCTAAAAAACACTAGAGGTTTATCAGTACTTTGAGCCTTAATATAAGTGATCACGATAGCCATATGGCGGTCTCTCAGTCTAACTGCACAGTCCGTTGGAGACAAAATCATACCGATGAATTGCAATCTAACACAAAATCAAATAGACATAAAAGAATCAAACCAACGCGGACTGCAATAAAAACAACAGACCAACTCTTGAAAAAAATTGCATAATTTGTGTCACAAAATACAAAAGTTTAAGAAACTGTCATAATTTATTTGTGCGTTTTCCCAGTTTGTTACAAGGGCGCAGTGACAACTAAAGGAATTGCGGGGTCGTGCGAGGTCTGAGTATTGTACAGCCTGTGGTGATCAATACAGGAAGAAACATTATGGCTAGAATTAGCATTTTAGCATTTTATTTTAGCATTAAATGGGCTTCACGCATTGTATCCATGTAGGGAATCGAACCCGGGTCTTCGGCGAGACGAGTGAACGCTTTAACCACTAGGCTACCCCACCGCCTCTTGTTTCTATGGCGACAGTTCATGTAGTTCATGATAAATGTGTCAGGACAAGAGAGTTCAGGGTTCGAAAACAGTGCGTGTTGTGGTCTACTTTATCTCTTCTAACCTTTTTCTCATACGGCGATTGAACCTGCTATTTCACTGGTGTGCTTGATAATATGCGCATGGTAATGCACCAGTTATACACTCTTCAAAAAGAAACGCATAGGTGATTTAGAGAATATTTGACACATGTAGCTGCGGCAAAAACAATACAAATATACTATTTCTTTTTAAAACGACATGTTTGTGTGATTGTGAACAGCTTCAGCGCCAGAATGTTTGAAGAATAACGTCAAAACGTCACCAAGAAGTAAGCAGAAAAGCATGTGACACCGATCACTATAAAGGGCAAACGTTGTGTTTAATTTTGTCATTCGTTTTTGTCTGGAAAAGAGGAAATCATGATGCCACGACTGAGTGCCGCCAATCGAGACATCGCCATGAAGCTGGGGAGTTGCAGTCTGCAGATGCCCGACATTTCATCGTACATCACAGCACCAATCTCGCCTTTTGGGATCGTTCCCTGCAGACCAATTCCGACCGAGAATCGGCCGTCCAAGAGTTACCACTCAAGTCCAGGACTGCTACATGCATATTGTCATGGAGACTGCGCAACACATCCATGGTTTGAGAAGAATTTCCAACCAAACTGTCAGGAATCAATTGCGTGAAGTGGGGACTCGACCAAGAAGACGAATTATCGCCCCTGAGAGACTTCCATCGGAGCAATCGCTTGTGGTGATGTCGTAGAGTTCGGAACTGGAACCTTAGAAACTGGAGACGAGTCTGGTTCAGTGATGAATCACGATTTCTCCTTTAGATGGAACACAGATGTTTACCGTCGGAGAAATGAACGTTTTGCCCCTAAATGCATTCGACAGATTGACAGATTCGGTGGAGGTCATGTCATGGTGTGGGGCGCAATATCCAGCACTTAAAGATCTGATTTAGTGGTGCGCACTGGATTTTTACAACAAATCGGTACATCAACACCTTTGCACGTCACTTGCTTCCGATTCTGGACCGACAGAGGGAGTTGTTCCAGCATGAACACGTTACTGCACATTTAGCACGCGTCACGGTCACCTTGCCAATTCCAACGTCAATGTCTTGCCATGACTTCCCGATCATCAGATCTAAACCCGATAGAGCACCAATGGGATGTTGTTGCATTTGCGAACTCTTGTCTGTAGACGTGTGAATTTTCACCTTTATGCCATTAAAATTACATGAAATGATTGCTCTTAAACTAGCGCAATAAATTCTTCTAAAAATGGCTCATGCGTTTCTTTCCTTTTTTCTGAAGAATGTAGGTATTGTATTTACTGTGCCACGTCAGGGTACGCTGGTGACAGGCACTGACGTATATCCAGATCGATGGCAATGTATTCAGTTGTCAGTACCCAATTCCCCACAACGAGCACCTTCGGTGTCAGCAGCGAAAATAAGGTTTTTACTACTCGACGATTACTTGTGTTTTGTAAGATGTCATGAACGCGCGAATTTCAGCTATGTACATATGTACATATATCATTGACCGTGGACCAGTGGGAGAACCATTTCACTAATAGCTGTACTCCCAGGCGTGATTATGTAAACTAGCATGTTAGGATTTTATAAAGATTTGCTTGAAAGTCATTTAATAAAAGTGGTCAAACGTAAAATATTTTATATTTGGGATTCTAGTTTCTTGGTAAAGTACTGATTCTACTGAGTACTTTTGTTGGGTTGAGTCCCATGCAAGATGTTCTGTGTACAGTATACAACTAAAATTATTGTTTTAATCCTAATATCAAAAACCTCGTCGAAAATATCCCGAGTGTCAAGTTTTCAGGTTTGCCCAGTATAATAACTTAATTGTTGAGCAGCTCATCAAGTTGAAATATTTAGCTAGTTCCTTACAGCGTCTTTCATCATTGGGGTACCCACTTCACACATATTACTCGCGTTAACCAAATACCATATCACTAATCTGTGGTTTACAATCACCAAACTTAACCTTGTACAAATAACTACAAGATAAACTGCTGGCTTATAACTTTATTAATGCATGGTGGAATATGACATCTCCTTATTACCTTCTTTAAATCCTGTATTTCCTCTTTGCATAATTGAACTCATGAAGTGGTGTTATAGTTTAAGGTTGAACCCAACCAAACTTTTCCCACCAAATAACAAAGTTATCCAACGACCTTGCCACCTTGCAGTTGACTTGCAATGCCCTGAGCGTGAGTTACGACCGTTGCTGTTTGAGTGAGCAGTTCGTCACCGTAACCGGCTACTCTATTGAGCTCTGACATCAACGCATCGTTGGAGTGGCCTGAAATATCAATAATGGTAATAATGACTATATACAGAGCACCTGTATCCAGGCACGTGCATGCTCAAGGCGCTAACACAATATTTCCTGGTTAATCCAAGCTGCCTCTGAGACGCTAGAAGTTTAACAGTCATTGACTTATCCCACCGGGTACCCATTCGCTGCTGGGTGAACAGACGCGGTTTTGTTAACAAACTAAATTACCTAGGACGAGACCATATGTGTCACGTGTGAGTGATAATATGTTCAAGTTATGTATGACATGTCGTCTTTTATTGCACCTACCAGCAGAGTCTGTGTGTCTGAATATGGAAGACAGCGTACTTTACGGTCTCATATACACAACAGTCACGTGACAGATTAAAGAGATTAAGCGAGTGGAGATTAAAACATTTTCACCTCTATCACATATATGCTCAGAGGTTAAAATGTAACAAGGTAGAACTTGTATTTCTCTGCCTTCAGCTCGACAATACGGTATAGAGACGTGAGTATACGTCGGACTGTGGCGTGGTATCTCAGTAGGCTAGCCGCTATAGAACCATCAGTAGACCTGGCTAGCACAAGCTCCATCACACATTCGTGCATGCACGTCGTTCTATAAGTGGCATAATTTGAACCTGTAGTTAATTCCATATCATTTCACCTCGCGCATATCTACTGGAGAAATCATGACAATATCTTGATCCAACTTTCCAGGTAATCCGACTCGGGTGATACCGTTCTAATATTCTCTATAAGGTATATAATGATTTTAGATTTTGAGTGGTCAGGGCCATGTCTTATCGCACTCGTACTCAAGAGAGGGTTCATTTCTAGGGGTGGTACATTTTATACAAGGATTGTTTGTTCAGAAATTCGCCCGAAGTATGTAAATGTATTGTAAATATTAACCAAATGTAAAGATTTTGTGTTGCGAATTGAAACAGATCGTTTCATGGTGCCCAGTAAATAGATAGTCTCTTGGACACAGCCAGAAAATACATATTGGAAGAAATACTCTTTTTAAAAAGATGCCAAACGATACTTGCCTTCAGCTTTCGCTTTTTTAATAAAGTCTTGCATGGCGGCATTGAAAGAATTTATTTGAAGTTTGAATACACCAGCCTCGGATACCGTGTCAACCATGTCTTGCTGTATCGCAGAGTAAGATGGTGCTGAAATAGCCAGTTATAATGAGTTTTTAAATTTATATACGACATAGTAGTTGTTTCATATATCATCGACCTGTATCATCAGCGTCCATAGGTTGAGATGGGCTTGGCAATGCTGGGACGGACTACGCACAATTGGCGATACACCATTTTACACGAACCAATCACAATTTGGCCTTCGATTCAACAAGTGCAAAAAACGTTGTTGGCGACGTATCATCAATTAGTTTTTCAGATTAAGACCTGTTTTCCATGGTGGGGCCCTGGTGTAGGGCAGCAGTGCCACGTGACAAACGAACTTATCTGCCTATTGTCACCTGACGTTTGAGTAACCATTTCGTGACAGTTTTGTCGCGTCCGTTTCAATGACGACAGATGACGTTGTCAGACCACATAGTGCTTGGGTAGTCTCCGATTAGGTCCGACGATAAAGCACAGGGACATTGGACTGGCCAGCTGCATGTCCCCAAGGCCGGAGAGTGTATGCCAAGGGCCGAGCACCCGGCAACATGGCACAGTTTGAAATCCGTCTTCTGGCAAAATGGTGGCCAATACCCAGGACTGCTCCACACAACTCACTCAATGATCCACACAATCCACACTATGCCATTAAGTTGTCGTGCATGGATCTTCCAACATGGTGGCTACACCAGGTACCTCTTATACACCGGAAGTCAATGTTGACAGGGCGTTTAAAGTGATTACACCTTTACTGTCTGTTTAATCGGCTTCCTATTTCAGTGTGTGACGACTTCATGTAAATAACGTACATATTTTAATATACAAAATAATTTTTATATAACATGGCATCACTTTAAAATCTTTTATTTCTTCATACTGGAACATAGCAAGTGGTGTTAGTGTTCGAGGCGGGAGTCAGCCAACTGATGTGACTGTCGCAGGAACTACAAAATTAACGTTCTGGCAGATATTTTCACTTTGGAAAACTGGTGAAAAAAACCTTATGATGTCTGACATGGCGTGTCTACACAGCGCATTTAGGTTTTATAACCAGCTATTCAGAACCTATCAATAAAACATGCAATTCTGAAAAAAAATTCGTATAAATTTCTGCCCGGTTCCCCACCAAACAATTCTAAATATTTGTTTTATAATCAATGATCTATCTTACATTAACTTCAAACTTTGGGGATAGACAATTAGACAATACTGTGAAATGCATCATACAATTAAGCTAAGGTATTAGAGGACTTTACCTTGACCTTCTAGTTCACTTATAGCGCTCTCAGCGTAGGACCTGACCTTGTCGGCTTCGACTAGCAGGTCGTGACCCTTGGTTCGCAGAGGATACAGCATGGTCGTCAGGTCAGAGTCTCCTGAAATATCAAATGCTAAACCATGGTTACCGTAAACTATGGTTGTGATGAACTATATACTAGTTAGGACATTACAATGTATAAACAGGCTTTAGATCACCAACAACCTAAGGTAGATCACCATACTAGGGACCATGGGGACACTTCGCTACCTGCATGGACCCTACCTGCATTTACACCATCCCTTCAGCCACTAGTGATTGTAGTGAAATTTAGCCATTATTTAAAACAACAAATATTCTACGATTAAAATTTTGTAGGTCGAAATTGATTTTGAAAGTTTCGGGACATGTTTCCTCTCAGGAGGAAGACATAAGTGATATAGACAAGAAATACAGTTCGTCATATCCATCAGTTCGTAACAAGCGTGTTCGTTGTAGACGTACTTTAATGCATTACAGTTATGTACAGTCGTCCTGATGTACAGTCAACCAGTGTGCTCAGTACAGATTCTGTAACCGGTCATTTACAGGACATTAAACCATATGGACACAGTACAGATTAATGGCTTCGTCTGGCTTCATCTACATAGGGAACCACAAAGGCAAAGTCACTCCGATGCAACATTTCTGTTTTTAAGTTCAAAAGATGAACCCAGATGGATGTGTGTAAATCAGGGAAATATTGTCTTTGATCACGAAGCATGGTGAAATGTATTAATGTTTCTTATTGAACACAAGGCGTGAAAATGGAAAACCATTTCAGTATTCGAAAACAACTGGGATCTACTCTGGACTGACTGAATGACTGAGTTTTGGTTTTACGCCGCTTTTAGCAATATTCCAGCAACATCACGGCGGGGGACACCAGAAATGGGCTTCACACATTGTACCCATGTGGGGATTCGAACCCGGGTCTTCGGCGTGACGAGCCAACGCTTTAACCACTAGGCTACCCCACCGCCCCTCTACTCTGGACGTATGAAGGTGAAGTTTCGCCGAAATGTGAGCTAGTGTTTTGTTAGGACCTGTTTGAAAGGTATTTCTGTAACATCAAGACATATCAGCTCTATGTGGAGGACAGCACCGAAAACAAATGATACCAAAGGAGTTTACATCCGGTGTCTGCCTGAAGACCGGAAGTCGAGTCAAACCAAAAGGCGTTACAACATGGTACTTGTTGTCACCCTGCCTCGTGCCAAGGGAATATAACAAGGACTCTGTATACTTTGTCTGCTTGAGGCAACCATGTTTATGCACGGTATGATATATACATGTATTATAGAAAGTCATACTAGAGCATTTGGGTGTCTTGTATTGAACTCTCGTTCAAGAGAACGAGTCTCCGCACAACACACTGTGTCGTACTGTTGTGCGGTTTACCTGAAACATCCACGTCATAATAGACGGCGTCCTTGATGACCTTTGACACAACTTTCAGCTGAGTACCCTCGTTTTTCAGACTTGTAACTGATGTCAGTAGCACGGAGTCAGACGGTCCTGAAATACAATAACCAGTTATGGCGATGAGCGTTAACATGCAGTATGAGTAAACCGTCACTTAATGTGCAATCTACCATGAGTTGGTGAGTGAGTTCAAATTAACGTCGCAACAGCTTTACTTGAGGTGAGGTGAGGTGAAATTGGGTTCAACGTCGTGCTTGAGAATATTTCGCTCATATGACGACGTGCATGCGTGTGTATGTGTATGTGCGGCTGCTTGTACTAGCCCAGACTGAAGCTGGTTTTATAGTGCTAGCCCACTGAGATACCATGCCGCAGTGAAGCATGAATACCCCACTCAGACACATTATACTGACTCTGAGCCGACCAGTCCTTGTTGTACCCATTAATGCCGAAGGCCAGGCAGGGACCAACAAGTACCATATTCTAACGTCTTTTGGTATGACGCGGTCGGGGATCGAACCCGCGACCTTCCGCTCTCCGGGCGGACGCTCTAACCACTACACCACGGAGGCGGTCCAGCTTTACTTGAACCATATAGCGACGAGACCAAGTTAACACATACAATGTATATATACAAGTCCATCATACACATGGAGACACACTCAAAATTATTTCATCATATACAGAATTTACAGTTTACAACATGGGGTAAAATGAGTGAGTGAGGGAATTAAGTTTTACGCCGCACTCAGCAATATTCCAGCTATATGGCGGCGGTCTGTAAATAATCGAGTCTGGACCAGGCAATCCAGTGATCAACTGCATGAGCATCGACCTGCGCTATTGGGAACCGGTGACATGTGTCAACCAAGCCAGCGAGCATGACCACCCGATCCAGTTAGTCGCCTCTTACGACAAGCATGGGTTACTGAAGGTTCATTCTAGCCCGGACCTTCACGGGTCTGCCTCTGTACAGAGATATATGTATATCTTACAGTATGCATATTTCAGTGATTTTTCAGTGATTTTGCCTGGACGTGTACAGCGGTTGAAAACGCTATTTGTTGTTACCCCGGCTGGTGCTCGGCATTACCTGGAGGACAGGTAGAGACTTTTCACCGGTGTTTGCCTTAGTAATTTGACGTGCTAAATAGTCACAGAATAAGATTATCTGGTTGGCATATATCATATGTCCAGCAGGGAATCAGTGGTTATCGGTGAGATCCCACCTGTCAGGGGTTGTTCCAAGTTCAACCATCACTTTAGGGGTTAACTAAGGCGGCGCGGGTTACGCCTTGAGCTTCCCAGAAGCAATGTAACGAATCTCGACGAGAACGAAAGGCCCTACAGGTAGTTTAAATAGATGTGCAGGCTACCATCAACACCTTTGGGGGTGAGGGGTGGTATCAATCGCTCCCTTTCAGTCACCGGTTTATCTGGTCCAAGCTAAATTACTTACCATGACGACACAAGCATGAAAAATACTCACATACTACATATTTATTTTGTTATAGACTATATGCATGTGTACACAAATATCCAGTGGAAGCTGGAATATAAATGTTCTCTGTTGTTGTTGAAGATGGAACTACGCATCTTTTAAGCCAGAATGAGAAGAAATACGTACTTGCGCCACCTTGTGCTGTTCCTCGTTGAACGGAGGCCTGTGACAGAAGAAACGGTGCTTTGATCTAATATGCAGGTGACATCACATACATCCTAGCTACATTGTACTTTTAGGGTCTTTAGTTGCCGCTGCTATTTCATATTGTCCAACGGGCGGTTGTGTTCTGGTAACGGTCTTCTCGTTACATACAGAAGGTCCGGGTTATATTCCCTTAGTGTGTGAAATCTATTTATGGTGTTCCTGTCATGATATTGGAACAATGCCGATAATCCTTTAAAAGCTTTCTCCATATTCTGGATAAAGATCTTTTCACACTCATGATACATCCCATCTAAATGCAACTACAGCACTAGGTGTGAGTCGTTCGCGGGGTGGGAGGGTGGGGATGGGGGTCAGTGAGTTCGAACCACCATCACCACCCTACCCAACCCAACCCCAACCCCATCTTCGAAAATGCCTGGATCTGCCTATGGGCTATCTTTTCGTGTGCTCAGAAAATGTTTGTGTGTAAGGTTACAAACTCTAGGTCATAAGCGCCATTGTCGCTTCCATGTCACTTCTAAGATTCCTAATATGTAACCGTTTGCCACCAACATTTACCGTTCCGTGTACATTGTTCAGTTACCAAGAGACATTTGATGTGTGAAGATAATATTCAGACGCACAGGTATAGTTACAATAATAAAGAAAAGAACGCAGAGATGAGTACACATCTTGCCTCTACCAAAACACTAAAGGTTTATCAGTACATTGAGCTGTCATAGAAAATGTCGAAGTACCAGGATAGCAATATGGCGGTCTCTCAGTCAAACTGTACCGACACATCTTGTGTACTACTGATTTTGGTTTTCTTTGGACATGTTGTCAAAGCTGTTGAACTAATTTTGTTGGTTAAGTGTATAATTTGTCAAGGTGGAACTAATATGAGTACTGACTGACTGACTGAGTTTGGTTTTACGCCGCTTTTAGCAATATTCCAGCAAAATCACGGCGGGGGGACACCAGAAATGGGCTTCACACATTGTACCCATGTGGGGATTCGAACCCGGGTCTTCGGCGTGACGAGCCAACGCTTTATCCACTAGGCTACCCCACCGCCCCACTAATTTGAGTAAAGCATAGTAAACCTAAACATTTGGGTTAAAGCTGTTTGGGTGACTATCGTGGTATACTATAAGTTGTTCACTGGTCACGAGGGGACATGGGTTGATGTGCCCTCTATGTTTGTTTATGTTCCCTGAGCCCGAACATAGAGGGAACGTCAACCGATGGGACCCGAGGGACCAGTGAACAACTTATTTATCTTACCGAACACCTCGATGTTAATTTTGAACTGTTTGAAGCACGGTTATTGGATCATAATAAGGATTACCGGAGTTAGGGAACAACCCAAACACTACAAACACGAAGTGTCATTTAAACGAATTCCGACAGTTCGGCATTTCAAGCGGGTAACATCGAAAATGTATGGTTTTACGCCACTTTTAGCACTATTCCAGGAATATCATGGTGGGGGACTCTAGGAATGGGCTTCACACATTGTACCCATGTGGGTAGACGAACCCGGGCCTTCGACGTGACGAGCCAACGCTTTAACCACTAGGCTACCCCACCGCTCCTAACCAGGTTTCGAACCCTGATGAATAGGTTTCGGGGTTCCAACTTCGAACAGTGAATTGCGTCGCGTAAGACGACTGGTTCGCGTGTCTCCGCAAATTCAGTGAATTGTACGTCAGAAAAATTCAAACCTGTACGAATCTTGTCCTAAAACGATTTCTTCACGAAATATACATGTCTGAACTGAGTTGATATTTCTGCAATAGTTCAAGCAGCTGCGGAAACCAGCAGGTGTAGTTTCCGCATTCTACCTACCTCAGCCCTCGCTACAGCCTGACTCAGGACCACCAGCAGAATAGTTGTACGTAGCATGGCGATGTCGCACTGTCAAATGTTCCACTGCAAACCTGCGTCTATTTAAGTTACTAAGTAGTGTAAACATGTTAAAACCACATCTGTGCATAATTTATACATTTCTTCTACATTAAATATGATATCGTCTCAAGTTTCAGCAGCAGTCGCTCTGACTCAATAGAACCTACAATAAATGTGTAGTCAGCATATTTAGTCAATAAACTTGGCAAAACATTCAAGTATTGGCAGGTCACTGATCGGTGTTTGCACAACTAGTGCGGTCAAGTGTTTGGTTGTACGTAAGAGCTAAATCATATATTTGACATGTCTGACATATTTACATTTAATGTTCCCGACCAAGATTAGAATTTATCCTTGTTCGGTTAAGCCTGGACAGCTTAACATTCGCACCTGCAATTGCTTGTAATCCTATCTTAAATGGAGCGTTCACCATGCACTGACAGTCACAATGGCCAACCTGCAGAGGGCAGAGTTCAACTTGTCTCATCTTCATCTTTCTTTTATACACTGTTGCTTCCTTTTACAGTGTTCGATTCCCAAGAGCCCGCCTCTTATCTGGAAACAGCATGAAAACACGGGGCCCAGAACCAAATATCATTTGGGGTGTGTGTGTGTGTGTGTGTGTGTGTGTGTGTGTGTGTTCACAACGGCTTCAAGAAACTCGTCAGAAAACAACACCGAAACATTTATGCATTCGTCATTGCTATAAAGAAGTTTGAAACAGCGAACAGACTGGCACGAAGTGAGAATGGACATCCGCATAAGTAAATTTCCTTAACACTAATGTGTTATGATGTGATATGATGTGAATATCATTGTGATCGGAAAATTACAAATAACAGAACAAATAAATAACAGACAAATAACAGAAATAAATTCTTTAAAAACTGTCTTTCTGTCCTTCAACTACTTCAACTAGAAGAGTCCACTTTTAGATCATAGGGGTGCCACTAGTTTACCATTGCGTAATCAACAGTCAACAGACCATGAAATGTTGTTTTAAGACTGTAGGCGAATTGGGATGTAGGCGAAATGAGAACATGGCTGTACTGGCGTTTTAACTGTAAAGCATGAACCGGTATCCCGTGTTGCTGATACATGCTGTTTTTCGAAACCACACATATGTCTGTGAAAATAACCCAATGTTTCCATCTACATTACAACACATTTCATCAGGACGCACGTCTTTTTCGACAAGTATTTGTTTCTTCCCGAGGCATGTCGGTTACCATTCGTCACCACTCGCCCCTTTCCGTAACCTCCAAGAAGATCCGGCTTGTCCCGGAATAACACGAGTTGGTCTCGAATGGTGGGTTACCTGACCAACGAGGTTGTGAATTTCGGAGAGACGTTTTGGCTGGGTTAACGAGTCTATGCATAACTCAATCGACATCGGGTACATAAACTGGCATCTATTACAAAACTGTGTAGACAGTGCCAAGTCTGAAACCGTGATACTCACACCCAAGTCAGGAATCCAGTCGGTGTCTACTACTTGTTTCTCTCACACTTTGGATCTGTAAATCTGAACCACCAATCCCATTTAAACTGTGGGCCAGTTGCATTTAACTGGAGTCTCCCGGATAACCTTGCTTGCACTCACTCATTCTCACTCACTCACTCAGGTGTGTTTGGAAGAAGGTGAGCTACATGTCCTTTTACCTTCTGTGTCTGTTGTTATGGGACCACAGGGCACTTCACACGGGTAGGTTCTAGTTTTCATGGTTATTGAGCTGTCAAATATGAATATAACTACATATGTAAATGTTTTAAACATGTGTACAGTAAACTGAGCGACAAAAGATATTTTCGTGAACTGATCTTGTTTTAAATGAAGATGGACAAGAGTGAGTGAGTGAGTATGGTTTTACGCCGTTTTAGCAATATTGCAGCAATATGACGGCGGGGGACGAAGATGGACAAGAAAGCTGATGCACTTCGCGACACATATGACCACAATAGAGATCTTGATTATCGTCCTGACCGGGCGCCACTATTGCTTGAAGCTGATACAAGTAAAAGAATGATCGGAATCGGAGTAACTCGCAACAGCCACCAATGGCACTACGGCTGAAAAACAGAACAAAAGTGTACTTTTACTGTCAATTGACTGCCTTACCTCGGGAAAATGATGTTTCTGTGTCTAAATTGTTTTTTCTGTGTTTGCTGGAACACCTGATATTATTCGGAATAGTAGTATATAGGTATTGCTATTTGTCTGGCCTTCGTCTGTCTTCATGTTCCCTCCGCCCCTAGAGTTTTCTGTCACTTGAGAAACCTGGTTAACATTATGAAACTAGTGCTTACTTCCTTTGCATCTACAAACTGCTTCAAACTTGCGTGGTACCAATATCCCTAAACGTCTCGCAAGTCAACGTTAATCTTATGATTGATCAACAACTAGGTTTTGAAAATATTCCCTGTCACGTTGTTTCTTTGGAGTGAGTGAGTGAGCTTAGTTTTACGCCGCTTTTAGCAATATTCCAGCAATATCACGGCGGAGAACACCAGAAATAGGTTTCACACATTGAACCCATGTGTCGAATTAAACCCGGGTCTTCGGCGAGACGAGCGAACGCTTTAACCACCAGCTTACCCCACCGGCCATAGAGACGTTTTAACCACTAGGCTACCCCACAGGCCATAGAGACGCTTTAACCACTAGCCTACCCCCACCGCCCATTGTTTCTATGGAGACAGATTATCACGTAGTTCATGATAAATGTGTCAGGATTGAAAGTTATTTCAGGGTTCGAAAACAGTGCTTGTTGCATGTGATCTGCTTTAACTCGTCTAATCTTTTTCTAATACGGCGATTGGATCTGCTATCTCACCGGTGTGATTGATAACACGTGCATAGTAATGCTCCAGTATATCTGTAATTGTATTTACTGTGCCACGTCAGGGAACATCGGACATTGACGTATATGTAGATCGATGCCAATGTATTCAGCTGTCAGTACCCAATTCCCCACAAGCAGCACCTGCTCTGTCAGCAGCGAACATAAGGTTTTTACTACTCGACGTCTACTAGTGTTTTGTAAGATGTCATGAACGCGCGGATTTCAGCTATGTACATACGTACATATGTTATTGACCGTGGACCAGTGAGAGATGAACAATATAGGAGAACCATTTCACCGATATTTGGGCTGCCAGGCGGGATTCTGTAAAAACTCAACTGTTTGGATTCTTTTTAAGATTTGCTTGTGGTAGATAATAAAAAATAGAATACGTCCCAGAAAACGTTCAAACGTAGAATCTCTAAAGTCTTGTTTTAAATGCCGTAAACAGCAGTGTTCCAGCTATATGACGGACGTTGGTAAACAATCGGAACAAACAACCCAGTGAATGAAACCATAAGCCCCGATGTACGTAACTGGAATACAATGATATGTATCAAACAAGGCTATGAGCCTCACCACCCGATCCCGTTAGTCGCCTCAAACGACAATCAAGGTTGCTGGCATTTTAACAGGGATCTTCACAGTGACAGTCTGCCACTGCGCCATCTGTTTAGACAAGATGAGAAATAACCCATTGGGTTCGAACCTCACTCACTTCTGCGGGGAACATACCCCACAACAAAGCAGGCAGCCAGTGGCGACAAATTATCGGACTCATTATTTTGCAGAGCCCAGTCACCTGAATGTCAAATAAAAGTAAACTTTGTTTTCACTTTACAAATATGTCCAACGGATATCTGTATGTAATTATTCATTGTGTATGGAAGAATGTCCCGCAGATCGAGTGCACAGCTGAGTCCCTCGTGAATGCCCAACCTCTCTGATCGCGGTTTCGATTCCCTGTTTGTCGATTAGGAGGTTCGTCAGCACCTATGTCCCCCAAAGACCTTCACCACTTTGTTCTGTATTCCCACATGTCCCGACAGGCCGAGATATAACAGAAATAATATCCAGAGCTGTGTTTCATCCACCTCACTCACTTGAGCTGTTGGCATTCGAGTGAGTGAGTGAGTCTAGTTTTACGCCGCACTCAGCAATATTCCAGCTATATGGCAGCGGTCTGTAAATAATCGAGTCTGGACCAGACAATCCAGTGATAAGATGTTTATGAGTCACTATGAAACAGTGATGATACCAGGTGTTCGCGAACAGGTTAGCGTATCCTGCCTCATCGGTGGCACCCGTCATCAATATATACAAAGTCTAGTCAATTGTTCACCTGAAATAATTCGGGAACGTATGGTACAAGTCAAAATAGGGAATTGCATCGGTCATCATTTCTGTCACAGATGCATCAAATTCCGAAATGTCCTCCACATGTCTACCATAAACTTTTGGAAAGTTGTATGTGAGGTGAGGTGAAATTGGGTTTAACGTCGTGCTTGAGAATATTTCGCTCATATGACGACGTGCATGTGTGTGTATGTGTATGTGTACTAGCCCTAGACTGAAGCTGGTTGTATAGTGCTAGCACACTGAGATACCATGCCGCAGTGAAGCATGAATACCCCACTCAGACGCATTATACTGACTCAGAGCCGACCAGTCCTTGTTGTACCCATTAATGCCGAGCGCCAGGCAGGGAACAACAAGTACCATATTTTAACGTCTTTTGGTATGACGCGGTCGGGGATCGAACCCGCGACCTTCCGCTCTCCGGGCGGACGCTCTAACCACTACACCACGGAGGCGGTCGGAAAGTTGTATGTTGTAACATTAATCAAACAACTGCTGAGCAAGAGTGGTATCTTTGAAATCTTTATAAAACAGAGCATTCTCGATTGTATCTCAAACGTTGTGGAATGTAAACACCAAAGGCTGGAGCTGCTGGAATGTTGCTCGACATGAAAGGAAAGTAGACTATTTGGAAGTTGAAATCATCCCTTTAGTCATACAGTGTGAGTGAGTGAGTGAGTGAGTTGGGTTTTACGCCGATTTGGCAATATTCCACCAATATCACGGAAGGGGACACCAGAAATAGGCTTCACACATTGTACCCATGTTGAGAATCGAACCCGGCCCTTCGGCGTGACGAGCGAACGCTTTAACCACTGGGCTAACCCACCGCCCCTTTGTCATACAGCCTTGTGGAGAGTTTTAAAAGGCGTTGTCCACAACAATATATAGTCATGCAGTTGCTCATTCTTTAACAGTTAATCATTGCCACGGAGTTACCCAGGGTGGACGTGTACCCTGGAATGTGCAGGCTATTCCTTCCACAAGAGGCCAATTAATGCATGGTGAACGAGATCGGTACTGTGCACATATCCCACATGCGGTCACACTCATTGTCTATTGACTGACATATACCCTTGACTTATATGCAGATAAGATACCCAGGCTAATTTTGGTTGCTCTCAGTGTACATGGTTTTCGCAATCTCATTAATTGAAGTAGACCTGAGTCCTGGAACAGTGTCAGAAGAATTGATTGTCAGGTGTACATTGTTATCAAAGTTGGGGGCTACCAATGGATGTGATTGATTGGTGAACAAAATGCCACCCCAGGAGTTTAAGAACCGTATGTGTGCCTGTGACATACATTTATATTCACAATCAGCACTACACAAGATTTGCACACAGTTGTTCTCAGAATGAGTTGGTTGTTTACGGAACACTCATACAATGATTATAATCAGTTAACAAGGCCTGAACACTTGAAGTCCATCAGTTAGTTAGGTTTTAATGAGACGTCAGAAACGAGCCATAAGAACTCGATCTGCTGCAAGACCAATCCGACCAGTTGTCAGAGGTCGAATGTCAAAGAGTTTAGTTTTACCCCGCGCTAAGCAATATTCCAGCTATATGGCGGCGGTCTGTAAATAAGCAAGTTTGGACCAGACAATCCAGTGATCAACAGCATGACCATCGACCTGCGCACTTTGGAACCCATGACATGTGTCAACCAAGTCGGCGAGCCAGACCACCCGGTTAGTCAGCTCTTACCACAAGCATGGGTCGCTGAAGATCAATTCTAACCTGGACCTTCATGGGTATCAGGTCATTCAGCAAGTCAGTGAACCATACCACAAAGAAAAACACAAACACATAGCTGTTTATCAGTAATTTATTCACATTTCATCTTTCGTCTCTCACACCCAGCCACGACTGCCATAGGGCAGCTCTGGCGGCAAGAACTACACGCAATAAATTATTCGCTTTTGGTTCATAGTCAGCAATGAGTAAACGGTTATGTACACTTGACTGTACACAAACTGGGAAATGTACAATGGTGTGGTTATAAAGATGTTATAACATCAGTGGTGAATAACTGTTATACGACCGTAAATAACAGTTACAGCATCTGTGATGAATAACAGTTATATCAATGATCAAGTGAATAATACCTAGAGGAAAAACAGATATATTACTCCAGTGGTGAATACAAGTTATAACATCAGTGGTGATAATTGTAATGACATCAGTGGTTGGTAATGGTTATAACAACAGTGTATATGACTGTTATAACATCAGTAATGATAACTGCAGTAATCATCACTGATTTGTCTGACAGTCATATTATGGTGTTGTATAACTGTAATAACAATAATGGTGAATAACAGTTATAACAGTGCTGAATAACTGTAATAACACCATTGGTCTGTAACAGTTATAACAGTGCTGAATAACTGTAATAACACCATTGGTCTGTAAGTTATAACAGTGTTGAATAACTAATAACACCATTGGTCTGTAAACAGTTATAACAGTGTTGGTTAACTAAAATAACACCACTAACACCATTGGTCTGTAACAGTTATAACAGTGTTGAATAACTGTAATAACACCATTGGTTTATAACAGTGTTGAATAACTGTACTAACACCATTGGTCTGTAACAGTTATAACAGTGTTGAATAACTGTAATAACACAATTGGTCTATAACAGTGTTGAATAACTGTACTAACACCATTGGTCTGTAACAGTTATAACAGTGTTGAATAACTGTACTAACACCATTGATCTGTAACAGTGTTGAATAACTGTAGTAAAATCAGCGGTTGATAACAGTTATAACATCAGCGGTTGTGTACTTAACAAATGTACATAGTGGGGAGAAATGTAGGGGACAAGGAGTTGTCTCCCCTCCAGCCAAGGTCACATCATGCACAACATCCGTCCTATTATTTCACTCAATTGTCAAGAAGTTCTACCAATTCCTTAGCTGTCAACTTTCGCAAATGAATGCTTATAACATATTACACTGAGGAATCATCACTAAATATTGCTGTCCAATTGTGATAGTTATATGGTATTACATGAATGCTATCTCGTACCATATAATATATTGACATCAAAGAACACAACCAATTCAATTTCGATACATCCTTAATTTCTAGAATTAGAAAACATTAGTACTTGAAGATCAATGTGTGTGAGTAGTAATACTGTACTGATTGTACATGATGTGTACACTGACTGGAGACGCCCTGTCCGACAAGCTGGGTAAAGCTTGTGGTACATAACTCTAGTCACAAGATGATACACTTCCATCTAATACTGCAATGACATTCTCGGGGATAGCACAACACTGAGACAACAGACTTGTCAAACAAATGTCTTACTTCTGGAACTCAATACCAAGATTCAAAGTGTTTTAAATCTTTCTGTGGATGAGGCTGTCTATGACAAATATACTTGGGTATGTCTCCTGTTTGTTATCCTTCATGAAGTACTGACTTATCGTGTCGTGTATTGATACAAAACAAATATATTTTGAGTGCACTGTTAAATGACAAGAAACTTAATTGTAAAGTATAAAATAATATTTTCTGCTCATATATTCGCAAAAGATAATTTTTTCATTAATTAACTCAAATCCACTAAATATACTTGTGTTGGTCTTCTGTTTGCTATCATTCATGAAGGAATAACAATGTTCTTTGTTATTTTACCATGCACCTCAACACAAGTTTGCTATCAAGATATGTATGGTTACAAAATGTATTGCTCCAGCCGTTAGTATGGCCTTGTCAAGTTGTCTCCCCCTGCAAGCATTGGATCAATAAATGCTGATCAACTGACGTCTCAGTGTTGTACGCCCTGAACGTCCTCAGTGACTACCAAACAACCGTCGTGAATATAACAATCTCAGGTGATGAGGTACAAGGAGATATTGCACAGACTGGAACAAGTCTTGAGCAAGTAGCATCTCAAGTGTCAGCGTTACTGTAATACAAGCTACTAGCTCCGCAGGTAATGGAATGCCAGGTTATGTGTTACTACTACTCTACCCTTGAGGCAGGGGTACACCAGCAGCCCCACCGGACAAATATACAACATTCTTGTCAGGATCATTGTGGGGAAATATTTGTAAGATTTCATATTTTTGATTACTTTATTTAAGATCATTATCAGATTGGTCTCAAAATATGTACAGTGTCCATACTATTAATTCAAGAAATGCATTGTATTTGTATAAGGTATGCTACAACCATTCTGAAAATATAAACGATAATAAATTGGTTATCAATCTGAAAAGTTGCTTTCAAAATTGTCATCTCTTGAGCATTTTTTTTATCTAAATAAAAACATAGAACACTGTATATTTAGATAAATATATTAACTTAGCAAGACATTTGAGTGAAGATGTAAATACTACCCACTGAGTTACCAGGTCCTCCAGCCCAGGGCTCGATTTAAGAAATGTTAACCTACTTGCACCAGGTGCAACCTAAGATAAAAACCTAGTTGCACCAGCCAAATTCCAGTTGCACTGCTTTTATTGCAATATGTAATGTAAGAAATATGGTATTGAATTAGATGTTTTATTGAGAGTTTACCCATTCAAAAATTGAGTTGCACCAGGTGCAAGCTCAGCTAATAGCTAGATTGCACTGTGTAATATTTGGGTTGCACCAGTGCAAGTAACCAAGTACTAAATCGAGCCCTGCAGCCTCATATTACACTATGACCTATCAAGCATCCTTATTTCACATCTTGTGTGTTATACTGAATCTTGGCTATTAACCTATGTTGTTTGATATCACAATTACCCTGTGTTGGGGCTGCTGTGGTTTACAGAGAGCTAAAGGTGGCAGACGTGTAATGCCCAGCTTACACAAAATCACAAAGGAAAAGACATGACATTAGGAGCCACCCGAGCATGAGGCCGGAAATGGTGAATAACAAAAAAAAGTATTAGCACCAGTTTAAAACAAAAAATGCATCTTAAACCAATGAAACTTGGTCAGCTAAAAAGGCTCCATACTCATGCATGCCTTTTATTCATTGTCCCTTGCCGAGAGCTTCATCCAGAACCGAGGTACAGAAACTGATGACATCATATGGCAGTGATACATGAATTATACAAAATATACAACAACTTCAAGCTAACTAGTACGGAATCTCACAAAATCGTCGACACTCTTACACTGGCATGCTCATGAATTAACAGAGTTATAAGAATGTATTAAATCTTAACTTTTAAATTTAAACTTTTGATTGCAAAATAAAATGAATACGGATTATTCACAATGAATCACAGATTACAAGGTCACAAAGTCACTGTTCATGTTTATCCATTCGGCCAATCTTTCATGACTGTTCGCTTACATCCAGCCCGCCTGGTGTCAGACTAGAGTTCTCTCCCTTGAACACGTTTGTCCATCTAGCACCAGTCTTAGAGACTGAATCAGTCATAAAATCCCCAGTCCAAGCCCCGGCCTGAACATGAGAATATGGTTAAATATAGCACTAAAAGACACCTTCAGGAACACCATCAGCCATCAACAATATGAGTCTGCACTCCAGGTACAGATGAGTCACTGCTGTCAGATTGTCAGTCATAGCAATAGCACTATATATAGTCAGACTATTTACCTCAAAGCTAATCATAGCTTCGAGAACAGATCATGAGTCTTCAATGGATTTCTACTCATTTGTGAAAGACCCAATCAGGTATCCTGCATTCCAAATGCACTGTTTCTGTATGATGAACATCATAATAAGTCTCGTGCCATTTATACACATGTAATCCTGCAACGAAATTCCATAAAAAGCTTGAGAAGTTACTGCATGTCCCTAGCGAGTTCCAACCTCAGACAAGCCACTGCTGAGAGATCGAGGGCTACGTTCAAGCAACACCAATATCACAAACTTGCACAACTAACACGAACTGCTCTTGAATCCCCCGAGATCGGCGGCTGTGATCTTGGCCCGAGGAGGCCCCGAGATTCCGTTTCGACTCTGTGTAGTGTTGTAGCGTTCCTTGAGGTCGTTGAGCGCCTGCAGGAGTTTAGAGTTGGCACTGTCCAACGTGTTGATCCGCCGTTCCTGTGCTTCAATCACTTCTTGTTTCTTGGTAACTATCTTCTGCATCTGTTGCTGCTCGTGTTTTAACTCCTCCTCAATTGAGACGAGTCTGAGAAAACAAGTTCAGAAATAATAAACCACATGATTGTACATACCATTACATCCCCAAACAGGGGTCCATGTATTAAGTGGAGTGTGCTCATTCTAAAATTTGATCATAAAACCAGATTTACTGCTCCAATTGATGACCACATGACATGGAACATGCTGATGGACAAAATGGCTACTGTGTGCGACCATCGAGGGTATCATGGTGTCATCTAAACAAGTATACAAGTCTACCTCCTGCAGTTACCAGCAATTCGTTGATAGAAAGGTTGGATGGTTTGTACTTTGTTGTTTAACGCCACACTAAGCAATATTCCAGCTATATGGAGGCGTCTATAAATAATCAAGTCTGACCAGACAATCCAGTGATCAACAGCACAAGCATAGATCTATGTAATTGGGATACGATGGATGATATGTGTCAACCAAGTCAGCGAACCTGACCTCCCGATCCCGTTAGCTGCCTCTTAAGACAAGCATGGGTTGCTGAAGCCCAATCCTAACCTGGATTTTCATGAGTTACTGACAGAACGGGATTCAAGTACAGTGTACATATGGGCTGAGATGTTCAAGCCCATCTTCCTACATCTGACACAGAAAGGAAACCATTTTGTACTGACAGCATGCCCTGTGTCAAGTGATTAGCAACAGTTCAACTCATAGGGTGGAACATGGTGAGGTGAGGTGAAATTGGGTTTAACGTTGTGCTAGAGAATATTTCGCTCATATGACGATGTGCATGCGTGTGTATGTGTAAGTGCGGCTGCTTGTACTAGCCCAGACTGAACCTGGTTTTATAGTGCTAGACCACTGAGATACCATGCCGCAGTGAAGCATGAATACCCCACTCAGACACATTATACTGACTCCGAGCCAACCAGTCCTTGTTGTACCCATTAATGCCGAGCGCCAGGCAGGGACCAACAAGTACCATATTTTTACGTCTTTTGGTATGGCGCGGTCGGGGATCGAACCAGCGACCTTCGGCTTGATGCTCTACATGGATGGTCGGTGGAACATGTTGTAGTGAATACAAAATAAATAAATAAAGTGTTCCTTTCATCGTACAGGTACAAAATGCTGGTAACACAGGACTGTTCCTCCTTTACATGTACTCCACCATGTGCACCACTGATAAGGATGTGTGTTTATTACTGGGGCTGAAGCAACAGAACTGGTTGTCAGGCAATGGTTTGCTGATCCACCGTGTACACAGGCAGACTAACTACACGTGACTGTGGACTACCAAAGTGGCTGGAAGTCTGGTTTTCCAAAACACTCTATTCACTGTTTCTTAAGCGTGTCTACCTACTCAAAAATATGCATTGGTATTGTTGGTGATTTGAGAGTTCATGCTTCTCTGATTTTATCCGTAACAAAGCGCATTGAAACCTACGCTACTTCAAAAAACATCTAGATTTATTCTAAAGTGTATATTTACATTTGAGACCTGCTGTTAATGATGGCCTGCCTCTGCCCATGTTTCTGTTGTGAAGAAGCTACTCTACAAAAAACATCTAGAATTATCCCAATGTCTGCAAACCTACCAACTTCAGGGTACACATGTCTCATCGGTGATGGTGCCAAGTATGTTTAGTGGCCTTCTTGACAGTATTTAACGCTTCTCACGCTGCCACATTTGACGAACATCAAAAGTTGTACAGGTGGTTGTGGGAAAGGATAGACAAGCACAATAGTCTGAGACTTTTAGGCAGTGGGGTAGCCTAGTAGTTAAAACGTTCGCTTGTCTTGCTGAGGACCTGGGTTTCATTCCCCATATTGGATACAATGTGTGAAGCCAATTTCTGGTGTCCCCCGCCGTCTTATTGCTGGAATATTGCCAAAGTGGCGTAAAACTAAACTCACTCACTCACTCACTGAGACTAGTAGGACAAGTTGTCACAAAATTTGGCTGATTTACAATCAGGCCTACAAATGGTGTGAACAAGTTGTTTATAACCAATGATGTCTGTTCCCGTGCAGATGTTTTCCACTGTAGTGAACCAACAAGGAGCCGTCTGCTGTGTCTGCTGCTGCCAAATAAGTGGCAGCAAAGGGAAGCAACTGTGTCGGCACTCAATGGAGATTGCTATGATGGCAGGGTTGATTCCCGTGAATCGAGTGAATATAACCAACCACTGCAGAGCCAAATTTGTACATCTAAGGCAGGTACCTCACAGTAAACTTGTTTAAACATTCCGTAAGAGGTATCATTCCTGAGGCAGACACAGCAGGAAAAGGGAAAGTATGACAGTCACAGGAACACCTCCTGCACACATTAACCTATAGGATTATAAGAGTTGTACTTGCATTTCACACCTGTTAATAATGGCCTGCATTTGTCCGTCCTTCTCCTCCTGCTGTTTCTTCATCCTTTCCTCGCTCATCTCCAGCCGATGCTGCCACTCGTTGATGAGGTCACGTGTTCCCGCCTCATGGTCCTGCAGTCGGCCTTCCGCCTCTCGCAGCTGCACCTGAGCCTCTTGCAGCTGTGTGCGAAGAACTGCTACATCACTCTCAAACTGTGCACAGAAAACGGACCACTTTTAATTTGATTCAAGATTTACTGTTTCCCTTAAGAGTCCTCTTCTCAGAATGTATATCTAACCTGCAATATTGCTGAGAAGGCTGACATATGAACACAAATATTACCATAAGTTTTCATTTCTAACTTATCAATTAAATTAAATCAATGAGAAGGGACTTCATTTTTTAACCTTTATCCAAAAGGGCTGTAGGAGACATTTGTTTTGTTGTTGAACACCATACTCAGCAATATTCCAGCTACATGGCAGATGTGGAAAACAACAGTCAACAACATACTGATTGCCTGCACCTAGTTCGTAAAAGCGATCTTAGCGCTTAGTTTAAAAGTTTTACAAAGATTACTTTGCGGAGCCAGGACCTATTCCTGCAGGTGTGAATATTGAAGTCTTTAGTTAATAGTTGCATTCTCCTTCAAAGAAACACAACACCTGTACATAACATCCACACTGTACATGTTGGCAGAATGTGCGTACCTCTTGTTTGGTGCGTTCTTGCTCTTGTAGTTTCCTCTGTACAGAACTGATGCCCATGTGTACAGCACTCTGGGGTGACAGGCGCCGATTGCTCCAAGACAGGGTGTCGTCTCGAGAAAAATTGTGCCCTAGAGAGCCTGAACTACATGAGTGAGCCGGGGAAATGTTCTGAGATATCACAGAGTCTGTAGCTGTTCTGCGCAGCTGTTCACTGTACTGCTGCTGCTGCAGACAGCCGAAGTCCATGCTGTGGGACAGCTGATATGGTCTAACAGTCTGTCGGTCTTGGGGCATAGTGTCATAGTATGAACACGACCTCTCCGGGCGAGGACTGCTGGTTGCTTGCAAGGGACTAGAGCTTCGAGGGCCGAGAGAGAACGATACAGGGTTATTGCTTGAACTCGATTGAGATCCATTCATTAGAGGCTTGTCACTTAACGATTCATTACTGGTCGAACTAGAAAGTTGTGAGAGTTTGCGTAATGGGTCGTTTGACCGTGAACGTCTTTCCAGTTTGACTGGACTTCTGTGCTTCACCGTGCTCGCTTCGTCATCACTACTGTAGGAGTCAGAGCTCGAAACATGACGAAGCGACGGTGGGGTTGATCCACGACTAGACTTCTGCTGGTGTTTGTAAAGAGGGTTAGAGAAGGACAAAGGTTGCATCGGGTAATGAATGATGGGTGATTTGGTAATCTCCCGACAATATTCTGGATGATTGGCTGGGTCCACCGGAGAGTTGGATTGGCTGTACCCAAATGATTGATACCCTGACGAGGCAACCGTTGACATCTGGCTGATGGACATCTGGCTGCCATGGGTGATTGGCTCCAGCTCCATCGATGAGTTCTGCTGATCCTCGTCCATGAAGGGTATCAAGTCTATATATTCATGGTTTGCAGTAACAGTCTCAGCTGCATTCACAATCTGATTCCAAGATTCGTTAACTTTCTGTTCGTTGATTTCACTCTGAGGTCTCACAGACACATTAGCCACTGCACTCCGCGGTACGAGCGAGAGTACGAGTAGGTATTGTAATGTGTATAAGTTCCATTACTCCTAGGGACAGCTTCACTGCTGCTAGTTGAGTCGGTGCCACCATTTTGAGCTGCCTTACGACTGGCAAAGATTGGCAGGTCATCAGCACTTTCCCCACACTGTCGGAGCATGTCGCGGAGCACCTCGGTCGGCGAGGTGTTGATCTGACTGCTGGGCGTGCTCATCATGTTGTCGTACGCTTGACTCTTACGGTTGTTCTCTGGCTTTGTTTTGCCGACCTCAGGATTTTCAAGGGCATCACTGATAACAAGCAGGTATCCCTCCAGACGCTTTAACTTCAACCTTGTAGCCTGGGGAGTAAAAACAAGGATTTAACTATGGACCTAGTGTCAGGGAAAATACTTCGTTTCTGACAATTTAAGAAAAGTTGTGTTTCCATTCAAAACTCTCTCACTATCAGAACAGCTTGATCCAGCTGTGTTGATTGGTGGCATTTTGAGTTGAAGGTCAAGTTCATTCAGAGTTATGCATTGAAACCTGATGTTAGACAGAGTTTTGTTTCAATTCTTTTATTATTAGTTACCTTAAGAAAATCGGACATCTTCAGTGATGAAAATATTTATTTACAGAAAAACAAGTAAAACATCAAGTAACCCCTATCATTTATTGTTATTACAGGAATATCTTTCTCATTGGCAGAACTTACCTCTGGCTCCTTATCAAGATATTCCTTGAGCAAAGTATAAATAATCGAGAGCTCCTTGCCCAGGTCAATGAAGCCATCATACTCCAAGAACTGGTTGCCTCCATCCAGACTCTGAAGAAACAACATGTTATACTTTTAAGGCCGATATGAATGTTATACCATACCTAACATCCTCTAGACTTGGGGTGAAATAAATTGTCTGAGTGAGGCAATAAAATACCACAGCTATCATCTGTGTGTAGCACTGGAATTTATGGAGCCATAAATACCAGGATTATTTCTAAGAAAGCATTACACTTTCACATAATGATTCTACAAGCAAAACATTGCAACTTGTAGTGATACACCAAGTGGCTACTTCAGTAATCATCATCAATCATCACCATCATCATCAACCTAAACAACTTCATCCCCTAAATCACCATCCACAATTAACCTCACCACCATCAGCAATTAACCTCTTTGCTATGCAAAAACTTACTGATATTTTCTTGAGGAAGTTCTTCATATTGGTAGCCTCTCTCTCCACAAAACTGTTCATGAACGTCATAAACTCCTCCTTCCCTCCGAACCTGACAACAAACATGTCCGTTAGCTAGATGGACCAGATGAAAACACACAAAGACCTGTACACTGTCATGTGTATTCCAGAGCATTAAACAGCTTCCATTAGGTGAGAAGGAAACCTTGACATTTCAGATAGGTACAACAAAATCAAAGAGTATCTACGCTGTTAGGCGAGCTTGTCAAGTTTATATTAAAGCCCATGTGAAATGGTCTAACCAACTTCATACACATTCTTGTGACAATACTTACAGTTTGTTTGATAAAACAAAAGTGCTTTCCAAAATGAAAAATCCAATTTACATTATGAAATGTCCCGGGAATTTTTCAAATGCTCACTTACAAGAGGCATATTTAGATAATGAGAGTGACATCCTGCTTACTTGGTGAAGTTGGCGAGGGTCTGGATTGTCTTAGCGATGAGGGTGAGGTTCCGAGCAGCACGCTCCTGGGGATACTCTGAAACAACAATTCAAATATTTGAATTGAACTGAATTGTGTGAATCTGTATTCCACTTATACCACGGTGTGGCAGGTTAACGTAGGAGGAAAGCGATGCAGGTCTAACATGTCTACCATGTTACTGTGCCTTATGGGATGCTCAAGGACAACTTGGCACAGCAAATTGCATTACCTTATACACTGGACCAGTAGTGACCTCTGTCCCCTACTACCCCTCTGATGGAGCACGTGCTTACCTTGCGTGAGTTTGAACAGACTGGGAGACAAGATGGCTGGACACAGGAAGCGCAGGAAGATGGAGGCACTGATGAGGTTGTCGCTGAAGTCTTCCTTTCCTCGCTGACGACAGCGATCACGGAAACTCGCAAATACCTCCTTCAGTTCACTGGAAGACAATAAAGTAAGATCAAGTCTCAGACTCAGGACAGTCACTGTACTGACTGACTGAGTTTTGGTTTGAGAGACAATAGGGTCAGATCAAGACTCTAACTCAGGACAATCACTGGAAGACAATATGGTCAGATCAACACTCTAACTCAGGACAATCACTGGAAGACAATAGGGTCAGATCAAGACTCTAACTCAGGACAATCACTGGAAGTGTTGCAATGCGATGATGTTGGTTGGACTTGATGTTACCCTAGTGTAAAGACTCCAGGTTAGGAGGAGTGAGATGTCTGTTAGGGGAGTGGATGCAGTGTGTACCTGGGGAAGTAGCAGTAGGAGTTGATGATCTTCACCCAGGCCATCTGGCTGTACATATCCAGGTTCTTCTGGTGACACTGCAGCTGGGCGTTGTTCGGCACCTTGGTCGGGTCCACCTCGCAGTCGTCAGGGGACTCAATGATGGACTTGACAAACTCTCCCAAAGTGTCTTGTAGGTACTGTTGATAAAGTACTTCGTGTTAACATTCAAACAATTCATTCAGGAGAAATAAGTTGATCTTTGAGGTATGAATTTGACTACTGATAACTTTTGTTGTCTACAACTAGTATTACAACAGAATCTTACTTTATCAAGCAATAGTTTCTTCTTTTCAAGCACTGAAAGATCTTATAAGACACACATTCCTAGCGATTATCTCCCCTTGATCAGGCCTGTAGCCACCGTCAGTGGCTGACAGTTCATTGTAATGGTTTATTTAGAGCGAGTGAGTTTAGTTTTACACCGCACTCAGCTATATTCCAGCTATATGGTGGAGGTCTGTAAATAATCGAGTCTGGATCAGACAATCCAGTGATCAACAGCATGAGCATCGATCTACCCAACTGGGATACGATGACATGTGTCAACCAAGTCAGAGAGCCTGACCACCCGATCCCATTAGTACGCCTCTTACGAAAGCATGGGTTACTGAAGATCAATTCTAACCTGGATCTTCACGGGTGGTTTATTTAGAATTTGTAAATTCCCTCTAGAAGTTAACTGACTGATGGACTAGTGGCTGTGTGTACCCGTCAAGATCCCACACACTCACCTTCTCTCCCACCAGCTTCATGTATGCCTCCATGGCCTTTGTTGCAATACTGTTCCCTCTAAACGTCAGATGTTCATTGTCTGAAACAGATAACAAACATCTCTACTGACCAATGGGTACATGTATCACACTAAATAGACGAAAATTAAGAAAGTGGTTTTCAGGTAAATATAGTCATAAACTCTTGAGAGTTCATAGATAAATTTGCTCACCGAGTCGCGCTATTTCCGCCATAACAACATCAGACAGAAAGTTTTTAGCTCGATTGAGCTTCTGCATGATATGTACAAGAGTGGTGGCAAGGTCCTCCTTCTCCCGGACATTCATCAGCGGCTCCACGGCCTCACACAGCTGGCAGTAGTCCGTTGTCAGGTACTGTAACATAGGTCATTTATCATTGTATAATAATCTGAGCTCTCTGAGTAGTATGCAATCCAAGCCAGTTGTGAGATGTTAGAACAGTCACATTGCCATTTCATCCTACCGGGTACCCATTCACTGCTGAATAGATGCACACTTCAAACAAAGTTACAAAACAACAACAAGCACATATGAATGCAATATAAAGCCCTGAACAGTCACTGTGGAACACGGTCACCCATCTACCTTTTTTTGACTAATAAAGTTGCTTAACTCAATGTAACCTAGTGGCTGTACGCTGGGCCATGTTCCTACCTTGACTAGATCCTGGTAGAGCTCGATGGGTAAAATCTGCACTGTCTGGTACCGAGCCTTCAGCGGAAGTATGGGCAGGTCACTCTTGGTTTCCTTGCCAGCCTTCCCAACAGTGCCCGACGCTGCTGTGAACCTGTATCCATGAGTCGATGTTAGTTACATCATCACAGTCAACTGCTACAACTGTCATCTGTTATATAGCTGTCTGGGTGAGTGAGTATGTTTTTACATCGCTTTTAGCAATATTCCAGCAACATCACGGCGGGGGACACCAGAAATGGGCTTCACACATTGTACCCATGTGGGGATTCGAACCCGGGTCTTTGGCGTGACGAGCGAACGCTTTAACCACTAGGCTACCCCACTGCCCCTATAGCTGTCTGGTGTTTGCAATGTAAGGCAACTAATCTGACAGAGACCAAATGAATTTCACTTTTTAATTGAAGTCATGAAAATGGAAGTCAGACAATTGGTCACCTAGATTTTTGTGGAATCCACAATGGCTGAGTAGGTTAGATCGTTGACTTTGTGTGCTGGTGATTAAATGCTTGACTCTGAGAGTGTGGGTGGGACTCAAAAGTACTAGAATCTGTTCTTTACTGAGAAAGTGTAATCCCAAATAGGACATGTCACCCATCTTCAAGAACAACAAATGTATTTAATGCATGTTCCTTAATACTTACCATTTCTCTACAAACTGTCGGTTACTGATTTCTGTCACCGGAATATTTATGTAACCTGCAAGAGAAAACACAAACTTTATTATTCTAAAATTCTGCAAAAGACATATATGCTCTTCAATGATTGAAATCCCATCTAAGAATGATATTCCTTCAAATATTTGAGGAAAACCCCTGCTAAACCCCCGGTGTAATATGCTACCTGGCTTCAGCTGGGAGTGGCATCTCGCCATCACTGTCACCAGTAACTGTGCTGGGATGTTTTCTCACTCAGGTTATAATTTGAATGGATGGCAACTTGAAGTGTCCAGTTCTCAGATTCAGATCAGAGATGTAACAGAGACTGGGAACATGGTTACAAGATACAATGAAGACTGGATCAGTCACTGGATGACTGAACACTTATTCATTCAGTGTCAAACAAATCAAAGATGTGTTTCATTCTATCTGACACTAAGGTGAGTGAGTGAGTGAGTTTGGTTTAACGTCGCTTTTAGCAATATTCCAGCAATATCACGATGAGGAACACCAGAAATGGGCTCAACACATTGTACCCATGTGGGAAATCGAACCCGGGTCTTCGGCGTGACGAGAACGCCTTAACCACTAGGCTTCCCCACCGCCCGACACTAAGTTGAGGAATGAAGTGTAGACACTGATAGTAGGTCTCCTGATGCAATAATGAAGGAATGTGCCGTTAGAAACGATAACTTGACTCGTCATCTGCAGTTAAGGAATACTGAAAGACCTGCACGTTTCAAGTCAAATCATGAATTTACCAAACAAAATATGTTCCAAACACCAATAACCAGGAGATCAAACACTCATTTCCTTTCTATTTGCGGGTTGTGACCCCATGGTCAAACAAACAACAATATAAACAAAGGTGAATATAATTTGACAAACTCTTTCAGCAAACACATTCTGTACATGACACATCAGTTGTACCCTAGCTGGCTATTTACCAAACATTCTCATGGAATAACTGGCGTTGTTTGAAGGTGCAAATCGATCAAGTGTTTCAACAAAATTCAACACCAATTAAAAGTTGACACGGAAATGACACCCAGGTTTGTGAGAATGAGAAATACCTTGAACAAAATGATTTTACAATATGCCAGGACTTTGGGAGGAAGTAACAGTTTGCCAAGTCAACAGTTCCCAGGGTCTGTTTGTGGCCAGGAAATTACGAACCCCTCTCGCTGTTAATAGCCAAATATTATCAGATCCGCTAAATCGTGTGGAAAGGTCAGAGACATTATCAGCTTCAGCAAAGGGGTGTTATTCTCAAGATTGGTTAAACTTTCAGCTTATTTGAACTCTTCCAGTCAATTACTGTTAAAAGAACATTAGTCATTGGACAGACAAGCTCAGCATCATCCAGCTCTTCACAGCTATGTGATATTACTCTAGGCACTGAGATCAGTCTTGACATAATTCAGTTATAATATTTAATCTTCATTCAATCGGTGCATAATTTCAACATCAGGTCTCCATGTGCACAGCTGAAGGTTAATCAATGACTTCCTCCTGCACATGGTAAGACATGTTTGCAGACCATCCCATTAACGACTGTTGGTAAGTGCTCGGACCGTTTCAGTTGTTCAATACAGAAAACAGCTCTGTAGTGTTGCTGCCAGTCAACCTGATGTCAATATCAATCAGCTGAACAATCAACATTACCATTACTAGTGGATGTTTTATTCAAGCTCTGCATTCATTTGAAAATCTCAATTCAGTATGATTGGAGCATGGGCTAATGGTCTGTCTGCTCTGACAGAGTGACTTAATTTGACGATACCTGCAACACATTGTGACAGGTACAGATATATGGCTACAGGCACACATATATGGCTGCAGGTATAGATATATATCTGAAGGCAAAGATATATGGCAATGTAACCATCATTTGACCTAAGTGAGTGACATTTTTTAATGTCCAATGCAATTGCCTATTATTTGGCTCGGGTTTAGCGTCACACCAGAAATGGGCTTCACACACTGTACCCATGTGGGGAATCGAGCCCGGGCCTTTGGCGTGACGAGCGAACGCTTTAACCACTAGGTTACCCCTCTGCCCCTTCGACCAAAGTGGATGTACTGGGCTGTATGTAAGACATCAATATACTGGTCCCGAATCAACAGTTTACTCACCGACTAGAGTGTTTTTGTCTTTCTTTTTCTTCCGGTCCGCCTCCCGGAACAAGTTGACAGTGATGAACTCCACTGGTGGCAGATTACTGCAAGACAAATACATTGCAACTGATTCCATTTGATAGGCTAACCAAGTGTTTGCATTTATGTTTCCATAAACTGGAAACAAACAGGTCAAACCTTCAAACACATAACTGTTTCCTGATTGCCTGATAATGGAACGTGGAAGGGTGTTTATGGTATTATTGCACTGAACAATTTCACTGATTTCATATTGTTGTGTTCAGTTAATTTTGTGTTTTAAATGAGCAATTTGTAAAGTAATTATTGCTGTCTATTATTCTATTTAGAGAGTTATAGAGGTAAACAATTGGATTTCCAACTTTGTGTAAATCTGCAACATGCATTTACACTGTGTGCAGTCTGTGGACCAGAAAAGCCAGTGATCCATATTGTGAGCACTGACACAATTCCACCACTCAGTAACACGGGCTGCACTTACTTGAACTCAAAGTGTTCCCCCCAGAAGAGCATGTCGTTCTTGGGTTTACTGGACGTCCGGGCATACAGCGTCTTGTCCAGCAGAATTTCACAGAAATACCTGCAAACAAACACACAAACTAGAACACAAACAAACTGGGAAAAGTCACAAAAGCAAACATAAAAGTCAAGTTATATTCGTTAAGAAGGATAAAGTTCCTATGTCCTGATTCTGTGGATACGTGGAGTCAGGGGTTGTAGGGTAGGGGTGAGAGTTGGGAATTAGGGGTTAGGGCTTTGCTAGTTTGGGGGAGGTGGAGAGGAAGAGAGATTATATTTGTCTCTCTGATTCAGCATGTGTGGGTGGGGACCTCTGGGTGTTGTGGGCATGGGGGTGTTGGGGCCCTCTGGGTGTTGTGGGCATGGGGGTGTTGGGGGCCTCTGGGTGTTGTGGGCATGGGGTGTTGGGGGCCTTGGGTGTTGTGGGCATGGGGGTGTGGGTGGGTGTGTGGGCATGGGGGTGTTGGGGGCCTCTGGGTGTTGTGGGCATGGGGGTGTTGGGGGCCTCTGGGTGTTGTGGGCATGGGGGTGTTGGGGGCCTCTGGGTGTTGTGGGCATGGGGTGTTGGAGGACTCTGGGTGTTGTGGGCATGGGGGGTGTTGGGGCCTCTGGGTGTTGTGGGCATGGGGGTGTTGGGGCCTCTGGGTGTTGTGGGCATGGGGGTGTGGGCATGGGGGTGTTGGGGGTCCTCTGGGTGTTGTGGGCATGGGGGGTGTTGTGGGCATGGGGTGTTGGGGGCCTCTGGGGTGTTATGGGTGTGGGCATGGGGGTGTATGGTGTTGGGGCAGGGGTGCCTCTGGGTTGGGGTTGTGTTGTTATGAGGGTTATGTTGGAGTTGGGGTGTTGGAGCTTTGGGCGTGTTGGGGGACAATTACACTTAATTAAACAAGGAAGAAACATTTTGGTGCAGATGCTAGTGACAACAGTATTTAGCATCTACACCAAAACGTTGTGTATATTGTATTAAAGAAGTTGTATCTCCACAAAACTATCTCTCGTTCAGCCTAGATTAGGGAGTTGAGGGTGATGCACACCCTGAAGCTTGTGGTTGGGAGATGATTAGTAGAATGGTGATTAGTAACAAGGTTCATGCAGAGATGGCTTCCCCAGTTATCTGATAATGTGGGACAGTGATTCAGTGCATCCCAACGATGGTGGTCTCAGTGCTCGCCAATATATTGTGTAGGAGACAGTTAGATCCACATGTGTCAGCTACATACTGATAACATCAAACAACATGATTCATGGCACCAAGAAAGAACTCCCCTTAAGACAAATAGCAACAACAGGAAATACCGTAGTTGGATTCCGATAAGAATTAAAAACAAAACATTGCTCGATTGCTGCAATAGATCAAATCAAAGTTTTTTCTAAGGCAAAGTGAGTAAAAACATCAAACAGTGCCGGGACAAGATCTTCAACATTGAATCATTTGCAATAAAGTGTCCTTAAATTCAGTCCAGCACTTACAGTACATTGAATACAATATCAAACTCCAGATGCTCAATCATCATCTATTATGTTCAATTTAAAACTTTCAATGATATTTAACTGCTGCATCACTTAATCATTGTGAAAAGAAGTCTCTATTCCCACACATGAAGTGACAGTTAAGAATCCCAGCCGGTCCTGTGAGTGTCGAGGATGTACACCCGAGCTGGGAGACCCTCACTCTCTCTGACACTGATTGAAGCCAGCTCACAACTTGTATGTAATTATGTCTGCTTAGTGGTTAGGTAAATAGTACTGAGAGACACTATGGAGGCTGCTGAGGGAGATAATTTTCTTCCTTGAGACAATCATCAATGTAATTTGTGCTGAGAAAAAGTATGAAAGAACAGTTGTGACACAATGAAACTGTCCTTTTCTTCACACGTCAGGGCATTTAAACAGTCATTAAAACAGGAGACTTGGCAACAGACAACACACTTGGATAATTTGCTGAAACTCCAAAATATCTCACTGAGAAAATACAAATTTGAGGATGATCTTTTCAAAGCAGTTAATGAAATCTCAGTAGATGTCTACTATGAACTGGACAAGCCCAAAGGCCGTATAAAGACATTTCCTCTCAAGTGCATGTATGGATGCATGGATGCACACATACACCCTGCTCATGCATCTTGTGTCATGTGTAATTTGTTCTGCCACTTATGGGGGCGGCAGGTAGCCTAGTGATTAAAGTGGTCACTCCTCACGCCGAAGACCTAGGTTTGATTCCCCACATGGGTACAATGAGTGAAGCCCATTTCTGGTGTCCCCTGCCGCGATGTTGCTGGAATATTGCTAAAAGCGGGTAAAACCAAACTCACTCACTGTCACTTATGGATACAAAGGTTAAGAGTTACATGCCCTTGGTTAACAATTCGGCAAAACAAAACATAGTCCCACATAGACGGCTTAAAATGCTGAATACAGGAACCTGAAACACTACTTTCGACCATCTCAAATATGTCGGTAAAGGCTATGGCCTCGGAAGATTCAAGAAGTCATCACATGACAGTCATGTGACACAGACAACCATAAACCCTGCAGTAAAGATAGCAGCAGAGTTAACATGAAAGGCCTGCCATGATTTTCCTCACAGATGAGTAAGCTTTATTGGAATAATATTTACACCCCATACTGATAATCCCATAAAAGCTCACATGGCTTTGTTGACATTCCGAATCTATAATAACGTACTATCTTAGCTCATAAATTCAGAAATAAATTTCACATGTACATGCATGTGGCAGTTCAGAAAAAAAGTCGGTTAACTCTAAAAAAAATCTATGAGCTTATATAAATATTCAAATCAACTCTATACTGTTTGTCACCATTTAAAAATATCAATCGGGTTTAATTCTGTTAAAACAACAGTTCAATTCACAACACATGACACTCTTTTTTAAACCACTACAAATCCATGCCTTAAATTCACAAATTTTTCCATTCAAGTTACAATCAACAAGAAGACACGTGTAGCATTTGAAAGATTTAAAGAATTATGGGTAAATATGACACATAGGGACAACAAAACATGGTGGCGTGTCACGAGGAGTGATGTTTGCAGAGAGTGAGCGCCAGTCTTAATCTTGTAACCTCAACTTAGTCTTTCCGAGAACATGGCTGATGTCAGCACAAACAAAAAGGGCACATGTTCACCCAAAATCCATCATAATCGCCTCAACCCAAAAGAATTGTTTAATCTTGGCTTGAAGGCTCCAGGGCTTGGCTTAAGAACCATTGCAGAGCTTTGATGTCAATTGATTGGCTCTACACTATTTGTATGCCATATAAATTAACTATATGCCTCATGAGAAATATACCGGGGCCAAAACGACTTTTTTGAAATTTTTAATGTTAGAACATACTCTTTCCAAATAGGAAAAAGATTGATCCAAAGGATTAAAATGTGAGTTCATATTTAGTCTGTAACTGCCTATAAATCTCCTGGTTACCAAAAACTTTCAAAAGCAAGTTATATAATTAATATATGCACATATCTTCATTTTTAATCAAGAAATATGTTGGTGTACACAACACAAAACAAATTTATTAGGAAAAAATGCAATCCTCTTCATACTGCTAACCATACCCATGAGGCATATTTGATGAAAAACTTCATGAATCCAGAACAAATCCAACATAAGTTCTTCATGTAGCATATTTGTACACCATTACTTTTTTGGAATTCTACATATTACAGTGGCTAAATATTTTTCACTGTTTTTCTCTAGCATAAATAGCTGAAGTGTGTTACTAAGAACTGTAAATATACTTTGAGTCATCAAGATCTTGACAGCATGCACAACAATTACTCTGTCCACTGGTTGGAAAACCATAGGTTACAAGGTTACAGGGGCGGTGGGGTAGCCTAGTGGTTAAAGCGTTGGCTCGTCACGCCGAAGACCCGGGTTCAAATCCCCACATGGGTACAATATGTGAAGCCCATTTCTGGTGTCCCCCGCCGTGATGTTGCTGGAATATTGCTAAAAGCGGCGTAAAACGTAACTCAGTCAGTCAGTCAGTCAGTCAGTACAAGGTTACAAGGTTAGAAGGTTAATGAGTGAGTGAGCTGGGTTTACGTAGCTTTCAGCTAGGGATGCCACGACACATCGATACATCAGTGCATCGATACCTTTCCTAAGACGATACAATTATTGATACATTCAAAACTATCGCTATTTAGTTTTGCAATTGTATCAAGTTTTTTTTATGCTATGAGAGTTATAAATGATCATTTTTCATGCACAAAGATGGGAAATTAAAACTTATTAATCTCTGAGAATAAAAAATGTTGATCTTTTCATAGATAATTATAAAATATGAAATATTAATGTTCCAAATGTAACTAAATTTACGCAATAATGCTGCGAAAATAGGTATCGAATCATGACATGGGTATGGTGATACGTATCGATTCATGAAACTTATCTATCGTGACATCCCTACTTTTAGCAATATTCCAGCAACATTACGGCGGGTGACACCAGAAATAGGCCTCACACATTGCACCCATGTGGGGAATCGAACCTGGGTCTTTAGCGTGACGAGTGAACGCTTCAACCACTAGGTTACAAGACTAGATGACCTGTATCATTCAAACTCTTTACAGTGTTGTTGGGTAGAATACTTTGGCTAAATAGATGATTCATTTTAAAATTTTGCAACAGTTGCCACAGAAAAGTCCTCAATACAGACCATTGTTCAGAGAAGGAACAGACTTAACAAACAAGCAAAACAATTTGACATGTGTAACCTTCAGAGACACACAGAATACAAAATGTCGGTTCTGTGATGTGGAAAGTGAGTGGACTGACACAAGGAAACTACCCTGGGGGAACTAGAACTGTACTCATGATAGACAGGTTGATTGAACCTGGCACAGAATATACAGTGATACCATCTAACTGGCCTGGGGGTGGGTACCTTGCTGATGGAAGCTGTTCACCCCCCCCAGGCAACACTGAAACCCTGTTAAACCTTAGCTCAACTTCAATCTTCTCAAATCTGTTGTCTGGAGGTTTATGAACTATCAAAATGACTGTGACCTAAGTAAGTGACCTATCTATGGGTATACTTTTCTTTAGTTGAATTATCAATATATAGGATAGACTACTTATTTTGATAAAATAACTGGAACAGCATTTGAATTACAAAAGCAGAAGCAGCTCCATCTCTACCTTGCTGTGAAACACCTCACACTTTCCCACCAGAAACATACTGACAGTTGACCTCACAAACATCTATCTTTACACAAGGCTGCGGCTTCATAATGAAAAATATTATGAACTTTTTGTTGTTTGTTTCAGCAGTTTTAAATACTGTTGGTTAAAATTGTATTTATTTCAAACAGAAATGTAAAATATTTATTCCACCCCCTGAGTTGATGTGGTAGAATCTGAAGGTCAAGCCAGAGCTACACAAACTCCACCATCGGCTGCTGTACCGACACGTCCACATCATGCATGTTCCCCTCTTAGCGCCTTCCCTCTCTATCTCAGCTCCAAGTTTAAAACTTAACCTGTTTAAGTTTCACATATTAGTTTCAAACATGGCGCTCTACCAAGAAGGTTTTTACACTTCGGTTCTGCTGGCCAGGAATGAAGTATTCGGCACCAAAGTCTATCACGTGAACAAGCACAAGTTCATACCTACTTGCTATGTGATTTGGTGCATTATGTTGTTGATTTTCTTTCTAAAGGTTCTTTTTCAAAAGAAGTATCTTATGACCGTGATTATGCCTGATATTTCTTTATAATTGTTTTCATCACAATTTGTCAGCTTCATGTCGAAGTTTGTAAACGGATTTGTTAGATACATCACTGCAGCATCACACCAGATGCACGATATGCCACAAACTCGTGTTTGGGTCTCAGGGAACAGGTCTCTGTCAGCTTGTATGGACATGCTAATCTTCAAATATTTCATAACAGCTGCTGTGCATGTTCGTCATTCAAGAACGTTTCAACAAACATCAATTTCAAAAAGTCTGTGAAATGTTTGATTTCCAACTATATTTTCTAGGCTGAAAGTGAGTGAGTGAGTGAGTGAGTCTAGTAGTGACCCAAAAGTACTAGAGTGAGTGAGTTGAGTGAGTGAGTGAGTGAGTGAGTGAGTGAGTGAGTGAGTGAGTGAGTGAGTGAGTGAGTGAGTGAGTGAGTGAGTGAGTGAGTGAGTGAGTGAGTGAGTGAGTGAGTGAGTGAGTAAGCGAGCGTGCAGTCAGTAATTTCCAGCTGTAGACATTTTGCAGAGGTCCATGACTATTCAGGTCTGAAATATAGTGACACAGGACATGAGCCACTATCTACAAGGTGTACAGCATGATCAGTTGTGTCAAGGAGCCTTTCCAGTGACTGCATTTACAAATAATTGTGTACTACTCCACAGTTTCAGGAGATAACATCTAGTCCCCCAAGTATACTACTCTACCTGTGTCCTTGGTCCATTGGACACCGTGATCAAAGCCCTATGACAATCATAATTCGCATATTCTAACACTGACTATTAAAGTCTGGGCACTACATGAGCTTTGTGTAAGTGTTCCCAAGTCTTTAGTAAAATATTAACACATAATTTTTAAAGACACTTTTCAGATGCCAAATCTCACAACTTCTCTAACCTCCAAGGCCTCTGGCAAAATGCTCTCAGTCAACTCTTATGGACATGTTAATCTTTTAATCCCTACCCACAGAAAACCGTTTAATCTTTTCTCACATATAACACAACATTAGGCAGCAGAAGCTTCTCATAGAGGAAACGAGATTCGTTATGACCGAGTAGTGACTTGAGCCCCTGCCATTATGATAATCAGTTAGCAAAGAGCCGTTATCTACTGGTATTTAGACGGACGACTACATGCATCATTCATCCTCACAAGCTAAGCTACACGGAAGCCAATACATACAGACATGGATTAACTCTTAACCTCAAACAACCATTTCTTGAAAGTAAAAATGTTCAGATAATAGGACAACAGTGTTTCTGAGTAGAAGATGAGGCAACAGACACATCATATACCCCAACTACATAATTTCATAGGGAAGGCATCTTGAGATTCAAATTCTACTGATGACATGACTAGTGTCAACTCACTTGTGTCTGGTGCCTACAAACCAACAATCAATCACTAAGGGATTCAAACCCATGAACACCTCAGGTAGGCATGGCAAAAGATGCAAGTCTGTACATCTAGTTGTGTCTCCTTGAACAAATGGCCAGGTCTGCCTTAGAGAAACTTCAAAGCTATTTGAAACACTTACCTCTTTTTGGGAGAGACATTCTTTGCTTCTATCACCCAAAGTTTCATGGAGTTGTCCGTCCTTCGACATTCCTCCTGGTTGGGGCGAACAGTCCGCCGCAAACTGGGTGGAAAATAACAACTGGTTTTAGACTTACAAACATCTGTGACAACTAAGGAGCAACTCGTGGATGGTTGGTCTTATAATAGATCCATGGGTCTTTCTTGCAGTATAAAGCAATATGTCAAACAATCTATAGGTTGAATGAATGTATAAAAGAGCAGGAAGAATCACATATTCATAGTTTCCAATGATCATCAAGTGATTCTTTAAACCATGGAGAATGGAGAAACCCACAAGCTTTTGTATGGAGCTGACAAACCTATCTACATTATCAGGACAAACCAAACTTGGAACAATGAAGAAATGTTTCCAGCAGGTACAGGGGACACAACTCTGCCAAGGGAATTATGGACCCTTACACACTGCCATCCTTGTTCCAACAGAATGATGTTGATTGGCTGGCACATGACTGTTGAATTCTGGTCTTTCAGTCGCACGTCTACATTGTTCCACCTGTGAGAGTCCTACAACTATGGTTTACAAGAGTTACTTACCTTTCTATCCACTTGTCCCTCTCCTCTGCAGTGCGACAAGAGATGTACTTGCTGCCATGGCTGGTTGACACTTGGAAGCAGTGGTCCTGTCCCAGGACGCTACTGTGCAGCGGTTTGATCTCCAGGTCTGGCGCGGTCAGATCGATCGAGTGCATACTGGAGGGATTAGTCAGGAGAGATTCATGGGAACGGGAGGTCCGTATATGCGGGAACTAATCAGAGACCTGCAATGAAACAAAACAGGTTGAGGACATGGTAGCGCAATACTGAAATGGACGGCAGATCTACTACGAGAAATAGTTGGATGTTATTAGCATGGACAGTGTGCTGAAACGACAAGATGACAACAAAAGGAAACAACAAAAACACATAAATCTGCAATATCACAAACATTCAGTCCGTAAATTAAATATTAAGTTGTAGACGATGACTCTCCGCATTCTGATAAAAGATTAAACGTGGATTCGCAACATGTTTTCTGTTCTTTTCTTTTATTATTTTCCTTCAGTAACTCTGAGAAACTCTCAATGTCTGTCACGTAACAACATCACACAGTTCATCTAGCAAGCTTCTAGATGTTATTTACAAATCCTGCTTTCCTTCAACTATTCAGAAGTTTCTTGGAGACCAACCCAAGAGTGTCCTTCATGTAATATTTTAGCAAAGCTCCTTCTAGTTATCATTTCACTGTTATTTACAAATTCTATGTTCCTTCAACTACACATGTTGATAGCAAGAGCTTCACACCAATGTGTAAATCTGTATAGCCTTCAGAAGACAGATGTGTTGTTGTTTCATCAGGTATGTAAATGATACACATTCCAGAGTCCCAGCTGTGGCCGTTCATGGACATATTGACACCTGTATGTCATAATGAATATCTGGCCATATACCTCACACCTTCTGCTACGTTCCTCACAACTTGCTCAATCAATAATCACTGACCTAGATACAGAAGGCACGGATTTCATTTCCCATTAATGTCTTACTGGCATTCCTTTTGATTTCCCATGATCACAACGCTGATAGGAACAGCTGGAATCAGATTCTGTCTGATTGGAGAACACATCTCATGCATTGTTTAAAATCCTTGTAAAATTCCAGTTCAATTGTAATGAATAAATATATATTACCTCAAAGTAGTTGATCAACAGATCGTATCTCGTTGACAGTGATTTACTTGGATTTTGAACTGGTTAAAGTATGTGCGTCCGTGTAAAATGTGATTAAAACTGTAAATTATTAACACAGAAACACAGCAACAGAAAATTCTATTTGCTATCATCTTCACTGGCATGCACAAAGTCGAAACAACAACTAAAAAACAGAATTCAACGAAATAAATATTTTTAAGCCTTTTCAAAAGGAACAGGAAGGACATAATGAAAGCTTTCAAAGAAAATATTACAATGTGCCAATTGTTTATAAAACACCACCTGATTGGACAAAACAGTAATCCCAACCACACATCCATACTGTCTTCCTGAAAACTGGTAGTCACTAGTGTCAGCTGAATCCTTGTGGGAAGTACATCCGGATTGTAAAGGTGATAGCTCCCTCCAACTACTTCCACTCAAGTGGTTTACATCACACTACATCCTTTGAAAACATACAAGTTCCGTATGAGTTAGTAAGAATCACACTCAAGTTATCTTGAAAACACCACATTAAACCAACACAAAATCAAATTATCCATCTGCAACAATAACAAGTAAATTATCATTGTTTTCAAAAATGACCAAACCACCTGTTGTACCATAATCACTGAAGTGAGAAAAAACCCAAAGAAGAGAAGCTGTCTTACACTGACACTGTCAAGGACACCATCAGTTAATGCAAAACCATAAACTCAGTCCTAAGGAACACAGTCCCTATCCACAGATAAATATCAAACTAATTCAGGTCAATGTTCCACCTCAAAAATAATCAACTCAGCAGAAGGATTCATCTCCATCAGTGACAGCCATAGACACAGGTAGGTTTAGACTGATGACCAGTTTCAAGTGTTCATAGATCCGACACACCTATAAATAAAAGCGACAAAACCCTTTCCACATTCATAAGAAATCCCTGCCAAAATCAGAGTCGATTGTACATTGTGACTATATCATGAGCAGATGTTTGTTTCAGCAGTATTACAGCTGTATGATGTTGTTTGTAAACAAATCGGGTCTGAACCAGACAATCCAGTGATTGTCACTATGCGATACGATGACAGAACATGTGCTTATGAATCACTATGAAATAGTGATGACACCAGGTGTTCGCAAAGGTGAAAAGTCAAAAGAGTGACAATGGAACAAATTCCATGGTTTTCTGGGAGGCGGCTTGTGAATTACTACATGAGATTACTGGTATCTGAGGGACTTTACACTGTTGTGGGGAATAAAGTCACAGGGTTTTACATGACGCATGATTCCTGCGTATTTGATGCAACAATTTTGTAAACGACTCTCAAAATATTATCATACGGGTCAAGTTTGACGCAAGTTTTATGGGTGGCCCTCACAATTCAGGTCAATAAAATCGATTTGATAAGCAAAAAATGATATTGTTCGATGATAGTTTGACTTTTACAGGGCTGTCAGATTGTTCCAGGGAACTCAGAGGAGACAGTAATCCTGGCTGTTTGAATTGAACAATGCTGTAGTTTCATTTGGTGGTGTGACATACACAGTTACATACTGAGAATGATTAACATAAAGAAATAATGAAATTTTCATGACTCCCAAACATTGAAAATGACTCCCAAAAATAAATATTGTGAGTCACCATGACTCCCATTTTTATAAGTCTGTGTAAAACCCTGAAGTCACACAGATCTGTGTCACATGTGCTAGAGGAATGAATGAGAATCAATGAGAAACCTCCAGCCCCAGCAGCTGAGAGAAGTATCTGGTTTGGTATATCAGCCAAGACTAAAAGCTGGCAGGTATAATATTTTTCTCAAAAACAGCAGAAAGTCAGTCCGGGTCTGTAGTGATGTAATAGTATGTATCACAAAAATTACACTTGATGGTGTAACTCAGAGAATTCCTCAGAAAATTCTCATCCCTGTATGCAAGAAGCACATCGTCAACATTTGTCCCTGATTCAGTGGAGGATTGACGAGGCTCTGTAACATCCGCCCCAGGAAGGAAGTGCATCAAATCTAGGTCTCCATACACAATCACGATAATAAAGTCCTGGTTCAGATAGCCACGAATGACACATCACAACAAGTTGGTAGGTTTGACACAACGTCAAGCTATAGAACACCCTTAACTACAGATATAAGACTCCCCAATGTAAACAGTTTACTAAAACCACTGACTACTGACACAAAGTGGAAAACGCAGTGACTGAACGGGTTAGGCGGCTGACTTGGTATGCTGGCAATTAGGTGCCTGACTCTGAGGGTGTGGGTTCGAATCCCAGATGGGACTCAACCCTAACAATCTGTACTTTACTAAGAAAGTGTTATCCCAAATATAACATGTTACTGACATGAAACCACTAACTACTGACATGAAACCACTAACTACTGACATGAAACCACTAACTATTGACATGAAACCACTAACTACCGACATGAAACCACTAACTACCGACTAGAAACCACTAACTACCGACATGAACATGAAACCACTAACTACCGACATGAAACCACTAACTACTGACATGAAACCACTAACTACCGACATGAAACCACTAACTACCGACATGAAACCACTAACTACTGACATGAAACCACTAACCACTTCTCTGCCAACACCTTCACCACATCCATGAACACAGCAGCCCCATCCCTGGTCCAGCACCACCAGTTGAACACCATCGCAGAAGTGTCAAACACACACAGCATCAAACAACGACCCAGACACATGAATCAGACCACAGTTCTTGCCCCAGTGAACAAACTGCATCATCATCATGCAAGGCTGCAGTTACCAATTCCACAGCAGCAGTTACCGATTCCATGCAGCTGCATTATACCATGGTAAAATACCATTAATTCCTGCTACATGTGTTGTTTCCAAGTCAGTCCTGTGTAAACACTGGCTGGTCAGCTGACTGGATTCCTGCAATACATGTCTGGCACTGACAGATGGCAGGTCTAACCTTGCCTGACCCGGGTCAGCTGACCTAGAACACCGGTAGGTCACGTGTGTCACAACTGCATTCTAACCTTACTCAAAATTACAGCTTTCAATGACCAAAGGTGAGTGGGAGTTCAGACGGTTGATAAATTAAATCTTATCTCAGAAATCATTTAAATGATCACAAACAGAGTCAGTGGTGCCTATGATGGTTGATGGGTATCGTCTTTACCCATCTTAAATACACAGACCAAATACTCTGCATCTTGGTTTTATTCTGAAGTAAATGTGGGACACAATGATGCAGCCATGCGACATCCTCATCAACAGCCTCATTCACATCAACCTCAGTATCAACACTAACATCAACATCAACCTCTGGATCAACACACATCAACAGCCTCACCAGCTTCACTACCATCAATCTTGGCATCTGCAATTTCATCATCAACAGACACATCCATACCAAACATCAATATCACCAACTTTACCAACATCAACCTCGGCATCCGCAACTCCATATGAAATACACAATGCCATTTAGAAAGTGATCAAATGTAACACGTTATTTTTGGGGTTACACTTTCTTAGTAAAGTACAGATGTGTGCTGGAGATTAGGTGCATGACTCTTAGGGTGTGGGTTTGAACCCCGGATGGGACTCAACCCAACAAAAGTATCAGAATTTGTACTTTACTGAGAAAGTGTAACCCCAAACATAACATGCGTAACAACTCCATCTTTTTACACAACATCCTACTGAAACTGATGTTGACAGACAAGTTCAGGCTAGTGGGGTCCAGTGGAACATTTGACACAGACTGCAAGCTTTTTACTGAGAGCTCTGAAACCATCAAAAATATCCTTATTGTTGATAAATAACCAATCCATTCTGATAACAATCTCCTCATTACACACTGTATTCCCCTATATCTCTCTATTGGAGTACCGCACACTACCACTGCCCGGCAACATCCCCATCTGGGATCTGGCTCTGTAACTCAGGTCATCCAGTTCCATCAGGGGTACCTCATACACCGTCACCATCTATCCCTGCCTGCCTGTTACCATCTAACCCTGCCTGTCTGTCACCATCTAACCCTGCCTGTCTGTCCCAAAGCCTGACTCGGTCAAACCTATCTGTGACCACCACACCATAATGGCCAGCGTCACACCTTGGTCAACTATGGACAGATGTTATGTTAAGTCACAGCAGTACTGTAACAAATGCCTAGAGTGATAACAGGGACAGGGACTATCTGGGGGGGGAATCATGGTCAAGCTAGCTGATTCACGGGTGGACATGGGGGTTGTGTCCAGTGTGTGGGAAGATGTGATGTCAAGATTAATAGCATTCCCTCCTGCATCAGTGTCATGGCAACCATATCCAGCACTTGGTGACGAAACATTGACAGTCACAGATAAGGATAATAGCCTTTGAAGGAGAGTATCACAGGCAAGGTAATGCGGTGTGCAGGTGACAATATACTGACAGTCTGGGATGACAATAATGTCTGGGTTTTCTGTGAAATGTAAATGATCCGTCTCAGGGGGAACATGTACCATTTCACAAAAAATATATATCAAAAACTTATATAACAAGATTTCATACCATTTGTTTTGAGAGTGAGTAAGTGTGGTTTAATTACAAACTCCATAAAATTCCAGCTGTGATGGCCTATCAGACCAAACAATCCTGTGATTGACATGACCACCAGTCTGTGCACCATCAGGACACAATGGCATGCCGAGTCAGCGACATCCAATACAGTCTGCTGTCTCTATCCAATCTGATGAAATTTGTAACAAAACACAAAGTACACGGTACTAAGGCAAGGAAAAAATAACTGATGATGGGATGACCCATTTGCAGAGAGCTGAGAGTCCATCAGGGATGCAGTTGAGCCAACATAAAGCATCACTTCCATTGAAGCAATGTGTACAATATTGTTCAAGTACCCTCATCAATCTGTTAAACCCTTTCTAACAGCAACACACATCCTCTAGGGCATTATGTCACGTATTACATGGTCATCTTCATCCCAGCAAACAACAGCATCTCCATACTGACAGTCTAATTGGATGGAAGAAGAAGGATCCCTAGGGCTGAGACTGTGTATAACTTGGTTACCCTAGCACCCCATACAACATGCTCTTAATATTGCTGATGTCAGCGGATCTGTTTCTATGCAGCAGACTCCCTAGGGCTCTGGGTCGTATATCACACGTACATCCCACTCTCCCTGCCCACAGGAGCCTAGCAACAAGCTGTTACAGACCCATGACATCACAGTTATGTGGAGCCACTAGGAGCCCTAGGGAGCCACTAATGTTATGGCAAGTCACACGTTACATGGACAGAATTAATGCGAGGCAAGTTAGTGAATGTTTTCCCCATGCTGTTAAAGGCAGGATCAATCTGATACCAGTATGCCCATGGTGTAACACAAAGCCATATCAGCATCACTTGAAAGTACAACAATGTATATAACAGTCACAGCAGGGAGCGGCAGATATGGGATTTATAACATGGAAAGTCCATCTAACATAGAACCTAACATTAAACATGTTTAACCTGATCATAATGGGGAGAGAAAGTGCAGACTGGAACAAAAGGTGATATACATGTCAACAATCGGTGGATAATGTCCCTGTAAACAAGTGATACGGGGAGATAAGGTCCCCCCTCACTATCTAGATTCCTACTCTAAATCAAGGACTGACCGGATGCTGGGGCTGCTTGGCGGTTTCAGAAGTTCAGTAGGTTATGGTGGAGGCACAGGAAGAGGAACAACAGACACTCAAGTAGCAGCAGATCAACCACATCAAGGTGGGGGATGTAAGGCTAGTTCTTAGGGAAGTAGTACTTGACCAATTTTACTGGTCACTCATAATAGGTAATTAAGGTATTTCAGGAAATAAGTATTTCAAATTTGGAATTTAACATTTAAGTAATAAATGGTCCGTAATGCTTACAGTCCTACACCTACATCTCTGTATAACCAGTGATGAGAGTGGGACATGTAGAAACTTGGGAAAGACTTCCGCCCGTATCCCCCCTTAAATTTAATTCTAGTCAAATCATATCACCTGAGTATCTATTCCTCATCTGATAAGGATGAGTTTTAACATGTTAATTTTAAACATTTAACATGCTAATTGTATATGAACATACGGTACTGAAACATGCCACTCAAAGAAATGTTTCCTCATCGTTAAAATTTAGGGGGGCTACGGGCGGAAGTCTTACCGAAACGTGTACAGGTTTTCAAGATTACCTTACATGGTCCAAAAAGCCCACTAAAATATGCACTCAACACTTGGCTCCATATGTTACTACCAGGGCAAACCTCCTTCCCCCCATGATTGCATAGAGCGATGATCCAAGGCACCCCCTCTCTAGTGAAAGTCCTGTGACTGAACCCCCACCCCCTCTCCAGTGAAAGTCCCGTGAATGAACACCTTTCACAATGTGCAACAGGGAGGGTCTGGGGCTGCCTCCCCCCAACTATCTGCTATGGGGAGGGTCTGAGACTGAACCTCCCTAAACTATCTGCTGGAGGGAGGGTCTGTGATTGACCTGCTACCAAGTGGTCACAAGACAAACCCTGACTGTCTTCAAGGAGGGGTGAAGACTGACCCCTTGACTGGCTGCCACTGAGTCTGCTGGCCAGGCCATGCTGTCCCTCACTGAGTCCTCAAGTGTCTCACCCTATTATCATTATAGAAAGCTTGTTAAGTACTTGAGCCCCAGAGGGTGTCCAGCAGTTTAATGACCGGCCTGCTTTAACTAGTAACATTCCTGTCCAGCGTCTTGCTTTCAACAAGTGGCAATAATGGGGTTTGAAGAAGATGTTATGGCAAGTTTAGAGCCCCATGTATTTAACTGCTGAAAGTCAAATACCGCTCCCTATGGGGTGAGGTTTATGACAGTCAGATGGGAACATCCCCCATGTAGACATGCTGACAGACAATACCGTAATACAGCCTATGTTATATAGTATTCACATTGAGCAGATCTTGGCCATGGTGTGTGGCCTGACATGGAGCAGAAACCAGACTGAGATACAGAGGACTGTCATGACTGGGGCAGTGTGCACAATAGCTGGATTCAACAACAAGCCCACCAATCCACCAGCCCCATTGTTCTGCCTGATTGCTCCCTTGATATAGATGACAGGGACTCTTGCCTGGGGCCTCTGTATACCCACACAGTCACAGAGCTGACAGAGCAGTCAGGGCAGTCACATAACCCTCAGAGGTCACAAAGTTGACAGAACAGTCACAGAACCCTCACAGAAGTTACAAAGCTGACAGGACAGTCACAGAACCCTCACAGAAGTCAGAGCTGATAGAACGGTCATGGAACCCTTACAGTGGTTACAGAGCTGACAGTTGTTAGAACAATCACAAGGCTGTCATATGTCATCAGAGGGTATTCACAGTGAAGACATACCAAGGTCACAGAAGAGTCAGGAGCTGAATTATGTCTAAAGCTCATATTGGACATCACTTGCCCTGTTTACCATATAACGAAGTGGACAGGTGATGTTTTTGCAGGTGTAACCACTATCTCCAGAAGAAACCGTGTAGATCACCTAGTGTAAGTGGGGAGCCATGAAATAATATAGTAATGTGATTGTCCACATCACCCCAGGGGACAGGGGACAGGGGACATTCACAACATGTAATTCTGGCCCTTAACTTTCAATAACCTATGACAAATTGATGACAGGACAGATGACTGATGGACCTATGGAAGACAGGCAGATCACTTCAATAAATGTGAACTTTCACTTATCTCAGACAAGGCACATCACATAAAACATTATTTTACATACCTACATTTATGGTAAAAACAATTCAGGCCTTAAGAGACAAACAAGGTTTTTGTTGACATCTGACCCCACCCTAAACACAAGCTTGACTGTAGAAACACATGTGAGAATGCCGACACACTAGGCCTGGCAACAATCACACAATAAGTTGTACACTATGTCCCCTGGGACAGGCCATGAAACATGACGGACACATGTTGGTAAAAGCTCTCCAATAAAAGTGCAATAGATCTGCCCCCATAACCAAGAACTGAATGCACCCATGTGGGTATGGAATGTCTGGGCTTAAGTAGAAAATGGTCTTGTGATGAAAACAGAGGCATAGGTCACTGGCAAAATATGTGACATCTGACAATGTAAACACTACACTGTTGGGCTTTTGTTGGGTAGCACAGCGGGTATGGGTTCACTTGTCCCCATCGGGAGTTCAGCATCATAGTCAGGGTGCCTTGTCATAGCCTTGTCATAGCTGCTATGTTAGATATTTGTTGCATAGCATTCCATGAAGGAACAGTGGCAATATTCTATAAACTACACTATAAACGTTAGGATTAAGGAATAAGGACCACAGAAATTTAAATGCTCGTGTTTTGAGAACACAAGGACCCTATTATTTTAAGCACAGCCATGACTGTACCGGTTTAAACAATGACAGATATTTATAAACAAGTCACTCACCAGCCTGTGGGTTATGTACATCTACTGTGTTGCTATGTTTGATACATCTGGTGCGAAGAAGTGAAGCGACATATTTCCTTAAATCTAATTTCAACTTCCCTGACTCTACAAGTATCTGTGTACTCATCCATCTGGTCAGCCTCCTTGAGACTCAATACACATCCAAATGCTCACATTCACTCTAATGTTAAGTAAGAATTCTATTCAGTCAATCATTGTGTCGATTCCATGATGTCTTGCTGGCCACACTTAATTCAAAACGTGCTTGTTTCAAGCACAAGACACCAATAAATTCTAAAGAAAGTTTCTAGTCCCCCATCATAGTTGTGTGTACACTGACATCAGACAGACTAGACTAATGCTTAGTGTCTGAATATATATAACTTTGATAGTAACAAATGAACCCATTTAAATTGAAAAGGAGCCCAGTGAGTTGGGAGACTCAGAACCTGAGGAAATCTAGACTTGCTTCATTCAGGGCTTTAGTATTGCAGGGTAGGCTGAGCAGTAGGGAAAATAATGGGGTTTAGGGACTGAGACTACAGCCGGTTTAGGGACCGGAGACTACAGAGACTACAGCCGGTTTAGGGACTGAGACTACAGCCGCTACAGAGGGACTGAGACTACAGACCTACGAGACTACAGCAGTTTAGGGACTGAGACTACAGAGGGTTTAGGGACCGAGACTACAGCGGTTTTAGGGACCGAGACTACAGACTACAGCCAGTTTACCTACAGCCGGTTTAGGGACTGAGACTACAGCCGTTTAGGGACCAGACTACAGCCTGAGACTTAGGGACCTACAGCCGGTTTAGACTACAGCCGGTTTAGGGACCGAGACTACAGCCGGTTTAGGGACTGAGACTACAGCAGGACCAGCAACTGCAGCTCCTTTCTACATCATCTCTCTGACCTCTGACCGCTCACACTGACCTCAGCTGTCAGTCATCAATGATTCTGTAGATCTGCAGCAGCTGGTACCCCCTGTCTACACCTCCCTAGGGCACTGCCCCCACTTGGTGGGTGGGTGGGTGAGGTGGGGTGGTCATCATGAGGGGGTAATGTCATTCACCACATGACATCATCTACACACTACCAACAACTCAGAACCTAGCTGTATCTAGACTTATCTAGACTTGCCTCTTTAGGTTAGAATTACTATACATCCATGGGCTTAGTATTCAGTACAGCCTTGGAGCAAGGCTACAAGAACACCTACAAGGGTACAACAAAGGAGAGAGGCGAGAGAGAGCTATTAAACATATTGTGAACTAATCTGATTTAGTAAACATTAACAGCAGCTAATAACTCAGAAAGACACTGTTGAAGGAGGCACACAATTCAGTGGAGCCTTAACAGAACAGGTAGCATGTGTGTTCCTGAAGGAGACACTGACGAGCCTTTACAGAGCTAATGTGTAGCAAGATATATATCACATTTTAAATTATGATATATGAGGTTAATTTGTCAGTAAATTATGCCCAGTTTATTGAGACAGCTAGAATCCTTTGAGGATGGCAGCAGGTCAGACCACAACACCACCAGGTCTCCACACACATGCATGCTATTGACTCTCTGTAATGATAACCTTCTGATAACTCTGTCAAATTTGCCACAGCAAATCTCCCCAGTCCTCCTCCTCTAATCTGAACCCCTGTATGTTATCTGCCTCTCCTGAATCCTCCCCAGATGGAGCTGCTATCTCCTGTAGTTTGTTGACTTTCTGTACACCTGAATGATCAAAGGCCTACACGTCCGATACAAGCAGCACCGGGCGGATTACTCGCTCCAACATTGTTATCAGCCTACAGACCTTGATTAAACCAGGACTTCCAAATGTAGAATGTGGAAAAGTCCACAAACAAATATGCAACACATATCCCGTGGCTAAGTCATCCCTCTTCATCCTGAACGCTTAATCCATCAGGTTTATCAACCATCTTGCCTTGAGGTATGAAGGATGTATGTTCTCTGGCATTGTTAACGGATCAGCTCAGATGTACAGTGTGTGTGTGCCACAGATGAGCGAAGACAGGACAAGGGCTAACATCAAGTTCCAACAACACTCGGCTATCCGTCCCAACACAAAACTGTAATACATACAGTGCTAATGCCATTTTTCTGGGAAAAACAACAGATTCAACAGATATGATTTCATGATAAAACATTTGATGGGGTGAAGCAGAGGTGAAGTAGGGGTGTTTGGTTGGATGGTTGTTAGTGATCTCTAAGGGCGAAGGGTTGGGGGTTGGGCTGGGGTCGGTGATGGTATGGTGAGCTGGGAGTTATTAATGTCCTCCAGGAGAGAGAGGTAGGGGCATTAGGCATGGTGGTTATTACTGATCTCTGAAATCAAGTCCCATTTTTCTACATCCTAATTCCTTGCTAAATCCTTCTATCAGGGTTGTAATCTGAGCTGCAAGATCCCAATTAGCTTCTCATTTCAGCAGCTAAGTCTGAGGTAGGAAGTATGTTGATGAGGTCCATCTATCACCTCCAACTGCCTGGTGATGACAAGCTGTAAATTGAGACAGATATTCAGGCAGGGAAGCCCTGATCTTGACATCTCATTGATCAGGTGAACTTGCATGTATTGAACTGCATGTCTGGCTTAAAGACTGCCGCGATAATAAGGCAGGGTCTGCTCCAGGTCTTGTAAACTGCTGCAGCAATTGACTCTACAAGAAAGATCAATCAGCTCAACAGCAACCATGCCTGTATCGAAACACCAACAACGTCTGCATCTGAGCAGCAACAACATCTGCATCTGAGCAAACAACGTCTGCAGCTGAATAGCAACTCAACTGCATCTAAACAGCAATTTTGAATGCATCCAAATGCCAATCTTGCTTGCATGGAGCCAAAACCACATTAACTTGACTCGGAAATACATTTTTGCAACTCTGAACCCTTGAAATACAAGTGTTAACCGAACTGACTAGCATTATGTCCACAGTAAACTGTTGTTGAATGTTGCCATTACCTGCCATGGGTCAAAGCAGTGAGTCACCACCATCCCACTAGCACTACGGAGATCAATGCGGAACACAATTAAGTACTCTCTGCGACACTCCCTTGGTGGGCGGACCATGTCGACTGACTAACACAGCTGACACTACACAACTGCCTCGGCTGTATCACCACCAACTCCATTCAGCTGTCACACAACCACTACCCTCAACAACTGCCTCACATGCAGGAAACAGAACAACACAATCATTTAGGAAAATAGGACAATTGATTAGTGTACACAAACTTCTGACTACTACATGATAAACAATGTTTTCAAATTCATTATAGAACATGAACATATATGTCAACAAATACAACCAAAAAGTGACCAGTAGATTAAGACATCATCAACTACAACCGAGTAGATTGAAGCTTCATCAACTACAACTGAATAGATTGACACATGTTGAACTACAACTGAAGAGAACAAAAGATCCCTAAGTACAATGAAGGAAACCAATGTATGTTACAATTATGGAAGCCTATCTGTAACACCATATAACATTCACTAGAGATCAATTACTTGAAATTCATTTTTCATTTTAAGTTTGTGGGCTTTAAGAGGAAAAGAATCTTGCTTAGAGCCATGAGCAAAATGACCTGGTGGTTTAAATACCAGCATTCCTTCAGTATCGCAGGACTAGACAACTTGTCCTCTCCCAGAAACAAAGGATAAGACTGTCTTCAATACTTCAATGTACCAATGATAACAAACAACGTAGTATATCCCACCTTGACGAGAACAGCCGATCACATCTCAACACTAAACTCCTCATCTTATCCCTGCCACGCGAATACCGCTTCATCATCCGTCTCATCGTGAAGGAATCACTGGAATACATGGCTACACCTACATCCAATGACATCGGTGCCACAACAAGAAATCGGTCACCACAAACACATCAATGTATACTGTCCAGAACCAACATCATGGACTGACCACACCAACAGCGCTGTGACAATGGCTGCAGTGTTGATGAAGACCTACACCACTCATCAGTGATTCACTGATCATCTGAGTCACTGCCTCCGTACATTCACCGTCATGCTGCCATCAAAGGCCTGTGTTGACAATCCTCACTGTCTGTCAACAATTAACATGTACCTGGACAGGTGAGACAATAGGTGTTCACAACAACAATGGAAACAAATCAATGTCTGTGAAACATGTTCATAGTATTGTTTGGTAGCAGGAAGATGGGAATCGTATGAAATCTATTTTGCTTTAGGAGGTTGGAACATCAAATAATTTTTGGAATGGAATGAAAAAACATAACATCTTGTTACCATCAAAATATTTACATTCAGTTATTTTTGTGATAACCCCAATATGTCATGCTTACCACAACTTGAACATGATTGGATGAGAATAGTTTGGACCAGCCACTATTTTACGACAGGCATTCTCTAACAGCATATGAGGAAATCCCCTGGTTACGAGGAACAGGAAAATCATATCAGTCATCGAGACCAACCATTTACAAATTTTGATATTCTTGCTGTGATCACTGGGGACAGAAATTCAAAACCATGCAACTCACATACAAACCCCACGACTGCGACTGCCATCGACAGTAGACACAAATCCAAACCTGACACACACAAGTCCAACTGCCACTGATGTCAAACACATATCCACATGTCCTACTTCTATCACCACTGCCACCACAGAAGCAGCTGGGTCACATTACCCCACATGTACAGACACTGTACCCATACACAACCCGGATCAACCGGCCAGCAGGTTCCTCGACCAGCGTGTTCACCTGCTGCCATCCAGATTCTCACTCCGATATTGAGGAAATTTGTCAATAATGTTGCGTTTTCAAGGACCTTGCTGATTTGTGGTGGAATTTCCCGATCAATAGCCACAAGCATGTTGCATTGAGCCGCGTTCCGTAATGTTATCAACAGTGCCTGAGAGAGCTGGCTGCGAAGGATGTGTCACACGCAAGGAGTGCCGTCATTAATTATGAAACCACACTGTCTAGGGACCTGCTTCCTTAAACAATACATAGTGGCAGGAAAGAATTAGAATTTATATTGTTAAAAACTGGGCTGGAATCCGCCACGACAGGTGGTCATCAAGGAGGAGGAGACTTCTGTTACCTCCATCCCTGGACATCCTGTGTAAGCCTCATCTCAGGCAGGGGGATTGGGGGAAATGAGAGTCGAAACATTCATTTGTCAAACATATTTCTTGAAGCTTTGATGACCCATAAAGGGCTGATGATGTTTCAGAGAAATTTAAGCAATTAGCTGCCCTGTAATGTATATAAGACTGACTGGACCAATCATGGTGAGCTAGCAGACACATGGATGGACATTGATAGGTTCAGTTATTCAATCTCACAACTATGTTTTCCAAACATCATCTTTGAGACCCTTTATCGGTAGTTGGTCAGCACTGCCGGCCTCCAATTGGGTAAACTGGATTACGTAGACTGATAAATGTCAATACATCTTCCCCAACTCCATCACATTACTTTTTAATGCTGCATGGAGTAAATTGGATTATTTTGATATAATGCCAGACAGAAGTCTACAGGGGAATAGCATCCACAGTGGACAAGGTGTGAACAGTACATAATCCATTATCAGGGAATAACCATATTATCACATATCAAACCATGTTATCACACATCAAACCATGTTATCACATAATGGTAGCCTATAAGGAATGGAGTATATTTCTCCAAGATTCAAAGATTACCTTACAAAGAAACCAGCCCCAACATCTTCCCTTTTGTTGGACAACCCCACAAGTGTTGTAGCAAACAATGGTCAAGTGTTACCAGCTAAATGCCCCCAGTCTATAGTGTCCCTCTGACCAATCTGTGACAATACTGCGTAAACAAAAACAGTTGGTGTCCACCTGATCATATATCACAGACCTCAGTCGCCATCACTTGAACGACTTTCTCCATGTCCTGTACGTAATCGAAGTAATGGAGCCACTGCACTAATGACTCACCGCCTCCGTCAAGTGTCACCTTCGCTATTATCAACTGTGAAATTGACCCCATTGACCAGGGCTAGAACCCAGGGCCGCCACCATTGGACTCCCTAATGACTAGTATCAAATGTATGATCAGTCGCTTGTAACTTCAGGCGATTACTGAGCGGAATTCTCCTTGTGAAGGCTGTGAACTGAGTTCACTCATGCCTGTGAAGCCGTCACAGGGATAAGTTATCACATATCTCAACATAATTACCAAGGTTAGGTTGTAACTCGTGGAGTACAACAGCTCTAACCACTCAACAGGATTACAGGTATACTTATACAACGCTTGAGGTCTATCATGAAATAACTATTGTCACAACACCTCTAGATCTAATAATACTTAATTAAAACAAGGACGAAAACATTTTCTTGCTCCTTACCAGAAGAAAGTGTCTTAAAGTTACTGGAGACAAAACCTGTTTCTGAAACTGATGTAATTAAAACACAATGTAACAGAAACAAATACAAAAATGAAGTTATTTACCAGAATTTCCCAACCATCTTGAAGTAGTGCTGGTCAATATACAAGAGCTACTTGGTCCACACGATGTCAGTTAATCCACCACAATCACACTAAATGAGACTCCATGTTCTGGTAAGTTTGCTTCTGGTGCACAGATTCATCTGTCATCAATGTGACCGTGGTATAAAAAGTACAGCCTTGTTGAAGGTATGTCCAACTTTACGTTACAGGAAACATCCAGGTACGTCGTCATCAAACACACAGCTCTTCCAACAGAAAGAAACCTCCGAATGTGAAGCCTTCACACAGACCAGATGTGACCAGTACCACAAACACCTCTGTTGTGGACACATGGGATATACTGTGTATATCTGACCAGTATATCACAGCCAGTGGTGAGTTGACAGGTGACTTACACCAACCAAGACAGCATCAATCATATCCACATGACAACCGTGAGATGGCTAAATTACCCACAGCAGCTACACACCATCAGTGAACACCAGCGGTGACAGTGCAGAGATGTTGTCAACTATCACAAACAAGTCTACTGTGACAGTCACAAACAAGTCTACTGTGACAGTCTAAACTTGTAATAAAGTCACCAAGTAGTCACAATGTTCTTTCACTGACAGAAGAAGGTTAGAGCAGATTGATAGATAGATATCTGCTGAAGCTAGTATGGGCAGTGTAAGAGGAGACTGAAACATAACCTGCCTCTCTGCTGTACAACACTGAGTGGCCCTTGTGTGTAGCCTACAGCCGAGCTGTTCAGCCAGGTCAGTGAGGTTTGATCTCGTTGTATAAACAACACTGTTTCCTCTCTCTACAATTCTAAAACAATCGCTGGCCCGGTCCTGCTATCTGATTGGCTGGGAGGTTAATCCAACCCCCCATTGGCTTCGGGGCACGACTTAAACACAGCTTTGTGTAATTGTTGAAAATTATTCTTTATTATGAGTGTGCCTATTCAGCTAAATCAAGATTAAATTTCTCTTTAACTCAGCTGTTCTTGTTCACGTTTGTAATAATTCGTTAACAACTCAGTGTATTCAAACTTGTGAATGTATTTTCCCAATAACACATGAAATGAAGACAATTAGCAATCAATACCTGGATATTGGATTACTTGTAGCAGTTTCTTATGTACAAAACCTTGCTAAAAAACAAACATAAATTGAAAGCAGGTACTTGAACCCCTCAATATTTTCAAAAGTCCTTTTATGATTTAGCTGATGATGATGAATTAGAGATTTAATGTGTGTATGCCAACATAATGCATATTTCACACACAGATGTGATTAAGCAAACTTTATAACTATATATATAACCTTTGTATAATACTGTGAGTATTCGTTTTAAACCTAAAGAAATTCTCTTAGAGTATAAGTTTCCAAAAAGATCCTGAGATACAATTCATTTTGAAAGTTCAAACAAATTTGAGAGCATATATTTGTAAAGTTTAAAAGTTAAAACAATCAGCCATGTATAGATAGCAACTTGTGTTGATAGCAATATCCTTGGAGACACAGACACTTAACCAGATTGGGTGAGGGGGTGAGTGGGAGAGCTTGTTGACGGCTATTGTTCTTCAGTCAACTCACGGTCGTGT